CCAGATTAGAATCAAAGAGGCGTCAAATGTTTGCTCACTGATTATTATCCATCCATAATTCATTTCGTGTGCAAACCTACTGATGGACACTTGTGCGTAAGAAAACCGCCCAGTTTTAGCACAAATAAGCTGCATCTATCAACGCTCGAGAAGGCCCGACAGGAGCGCCTTTGCTGTTCTTGGCTGGCAGGGCAGCCCGTGAGGAAACCTTCACAGGAGCGGTGCAGCCATGCCAGCGGCCCGAGCAATGCAGGGGAGGGGTCGTTAAATACGCGGAGGGAAGGGGCTGTATTGGTGCCGTCGAAGCTCTCGATCTTTCCCGGCTACTGGGGTTCCACGGGGGGCGATCAAACCCCATAGGTCATCCCTATATTTAGAGGATACCCCCCGTAGAGCAAACAGCTGAGAATATGACCGGATGTTTATAAGTTGATCTTGTAGCGCGATGCCGTGGCGTCATCCAGAGGCTATTTCGGGAGTTCGACGTGTTTTGATGACCAGCAGTGATCGAACGTCATTCGGAGGCCATTTATGATAGAATTGTCAAATGTTCTATTTCTCAATCCTCATACCTGCATCTGTATACGTGATCGTGACATTCTTTTTAACCACATTTTTCGGCTTAAGCCCAAATAGAAACAGCCACAAGCGAGCCACCTATTTACGAACACCATGATGATAACTTTCACAATGGATTTTGGTTTAGTGGAATTTAACCAGCTATTCCTCGGCATCATCCACGCCTCTCCAGCGTCCCCTCCCTGACCTCTCTCCACCTGTCTTTGTGCTGACCTGCAGAGATGATCCAGCCACCGCACCGGCCGGCCAACCCAAACCCGGGCGGCCGGCTCGTTATTTTATATAAGCACTGCTGCGACTGTGCGGGTGCTGCATCGGCCCCTGCACCAAGACTCGAGCCAACTGGACTGTCCGGCTTGGAAGGCTCTAGAACGCTGTCAATAGGTGCAGTTTTTTTAGTGTTTTGAGTGCTGAAAGAGGGCGGACAGCTCACAGCCAACGAAACACAGCTTAGTGTTGATTCACTGATGAAGAGCTGACGTATGTTTGTTGTTCTTTATCGTCATCAACCATGACGCGTCTAAAAGGAATGCCGAGCAGGCGTTGAGAAAAGGAAAGTGGCGATTGACATGCTTAGTTGGAGAGCTGCAACGCTGAAAACGAAGCCGACTTCAAATCTTCAAAGCTAGGGGTCAAAACTTCTTTCAATGGAGTGAAATAAAACACTAATGCATTTACTTTGGTGCTGTGTAAAAACGGCGTTTGGCGTCGCCCTTCAACATGGTTCTCGCATATCCCGCTTCAGTCAAAGTTGGTAAGCTCGTAATGAAGATATCTCGATTCATAATCGAAGGCACCAGTTTCATCGATCAGCTTCGTCGACCTCTCCGTTGTGTAAATTCGTCGGTCAGAAGTCAGTTGATACCTACCATTCGTGATCCTGCATCTACACGCCAAACTGCATTCGTTTTCGTTTTTCGGACAGACGCTATCCTCTCGTACACTGTATGATCACGAAGCCAGTACAAAGTAATTCTTCTTCATCCTACGGCCATTTCTTTGCGAATGGGGGGCTCAACTCCATCATTTACGTCCGCCCTTCACATCGGCATTCACTCTTTCATCCCTCGTTCTACTCATTGCGCCAGTTCACCCGCCGGAAGAAGTGGTCCTCCATCAAAACGGAGCGGACATTTGACTGACGCCGTCCGTCTCTCCTCGCGCTCCGACCGACTTCTGACCAATCTGACCCAGCTATCAGGCACGTGCCGGGGCGGCTGTCGACTCCAGAGACGCAGAGAACACCTGACACCCCGCCCACCCAGCTAGCTCTGATCTAACGCCGCCTGCCGCTGCACCAATCAACCCCGGCCGTCAGAATCGGCCCCGACCTGGACGGCGCCCATGTTTTCCCAAACAATAGCCGGTATCGGATACCTTCTGGCCGACTGTGTGCGCTGTTTGAGCACGGCGTTCTGCTCGGCAGTCGAGCTGGGCCGGTAGTGAGAGCAGGGTGGGTCAGGTCGGCTGTGACGGTGTGGAGTAGGGTCGGTTGAGGAGTGAGTCGAGACGGGCAGTGTGACGGTGAAACACCACGCGATACCGTGACGCGTGACAAGTGGTGAAGGAGTAAACGTGTCACACAGTGACAACAACTCCCTGCGATACTCAGTGGATAAGATTACCGCCCTCCGCGGGTGTCAGTGTGTGTGCTCGTCTGGTATTTACCAGCCCCTCCCAGCACCGCTCGAGGTTCCGACCCGCAGTTCCAGCGGCCCCGTCTGACCCAAGCGGCCCGCCCACGGGGCCGGGGTCGGCGGCGGCGGAGCCATGGATCCAGCAGGCAGTTGGCGGGGCGCTGGCGGGCCCGGCGGCGGCGGCGCCGGCGGCGGGGGTGGTGACCATAGTGCGTCAGAGATGTCGCGCTCCGGTCGGCGGCGATTCAGCCGCGACTGGGTGCGCCGCAATCGTCACGATAGCGCCGAGGAGACGAGCATAGACTATTCGCTGACCGAGGATGACAACAGCGTCCGAGTGCTGCTCAAGTGCATGGGATTCCACGTCGATGAAGAATGTAAGTGTTCGGGGCGAGACGTGAGGTCTGGGTCAGGTCGTCCAGGGTAATATGTAGACTGAAGGAAGGGTAGGCCAGTTCAGGTGAGTAGTAAACTGGGGAGACTGCAGCTCTCTTCAGACGAGCAGTATGTAGTCATTTGAGGTGGACAATGACCAGCACCCTACGTACTGGCGGATACAGAAAAACAAACATTTGACGCAGCAGGGATCAGACTCCTAAAAAATAATTTAAAAATAAATTGTCAATTAATTTTTCTCAGTGGGGGAAAACGACAATTTTACCAATCTTTGACATTGCGACAGGTGTAAATCTCCCAAATGCCCCTCCCTTGCTCCCGCCAGTTAGCTTGTGTTTGACAAAAAGGTCAGTATCAGTTGGGCTGCCAGTGGAGGTTCAAAGTGCGCATTTTTTGACGGCCAATAATGTGCAACGTGCATTGTATCACTAATAAAGCCAAGAACTTACATTAACTCCTGGCTCACCCTATAGGTTTTGCGCGATTATTTATTTCCTTGACAGATTTCGAATTTACAAGATTTTGCACGATGTGAGCAGCATGATAGATATGACATACATCCCTCGACAGGTAGTCAGCATTGAGACGCTATACAATCATACCTACATAATTGTGGATAACATTAGCTGCACCATGAAGCAAAGAAATATTTTACTCACCATGTTTGTATGGATGAATCACGTCCAGAGGACTGGTCACAGTAGGGGCGCGGTTTGGCAGTGGTGCAGTGTCACTGGACGTGAGACTGAACTCTGTGTCATTTGGGGTCGGGCCAGGGATGAGTCATTCGTCACCGGGCCAGCGGCCTTGACTGTCACTCTCGGACAGCGGTGGCACGTGCAACAAATGACGATGGCCGGTTGTAGCCACACTGCCAGTCATTAGCGTCCTAGGTTGGCCTTGGATAGCCTTGAGTATCATTATCATGGCAACTGTGTTGTTTTGTCTTTAGTAATGAATCTACGCCACCTGCTCATCCAAGTCCTTGTTGCCCAGTACAGAATGAATTCTCCCGAGAGTTGAGGCAAACATTTAGAATATACATAGCTCTCCATTCGAGGCCGACGCTGATTGCCGGGCTTAAAATCTCTATCCGACTTTCTTTAATCTTTGGAAGATATCTCATTATTTCGTTTTCAAACAACCAACAATGCCCCGCCCGGGACACTTCATCTCCAGCCCCTGTACTGAAAAGTCGGCGGTGCTTGGACTGCTGAGCGGGAGACGGATCATGGATCATTGTTTGGCGGAGTCCAGGTGCCAGTCTGGCACACGGACGTTGGATGTGACATTGTCCGTGTGCAACGACGAAAGATACCCTGAGAACTTCAAAATCACTTCGGCTTGCAGACAGTGAAGAAGAGATGAGTATTCATTTGATGAGTGCTGATTGCAAATACTGTCGAAATTTCCTTTTTATTCAGCCGGCAATCTGTGGCAGTGGGTGTGCTCGGGCCAGGACCTACCGGTGGCAGTATTTATACCTACCTGCCGAAGTGCCGGTGTTTATGCCGGGGCACGGGCCGGTGATGCGGGAGGGTACCTCCCGACCCACCTCGACCTCTGGCCTTTCGTCGGTGCCAGCAGCGGCAGGGGGCGGAGTCGGCCACACTCGTGCCGTCGTCAGCTGATTGCATTCAAGGTCAGCCGACCACTCAGCTGATCGTGCAGCCGAAAGCAGCTGGTGACCGCTGCATTCAATTGATAAATTCCAACAGAAAATTGTCGATCCTAGCCTTTATTTGCCATTGACCGTCAACTGCTTCGATCTTTCAATCACATTCATTAGCGTCGCCACGGGGGGGGGGGGCAAGCGGGGCAGCTTGCCCCCCCAACCTCGGACCGGGCACCCCCTGAGATCCATACAGATCCGATGAGATTTTGGAGTCGGGAAAAATGGGGGGGGGGGTACCTTTCTGAGAATGCCTGCGAGGTCAGACTCGTTCAAGCCAGAGTCGGAGTCGCAGTCGCCAACATCGTCAAGACACCGACTCCAGACTCGGAAGTGTCAATACTGTGATTCATTTCATGTTCCTCGTTGGTTCTTTATTACATTTTATAGCTGATTTTCATAACTTTTGAAGTGCTGATACAAAATTTGCGTTCAAAGCGTGACACAATCTTCGGGCCTTTCTCAACTCTCGTCAAATGTCTGCGACAGACTCAAGTACCGTTCAAGTGCCACAGGGCTCATGACTGCTTGCTTTTCACACAGGCTCCGAAGGAGCTCCACTGAGCTCTAAGAAGCCATCAGAGGGCCCAAAGCCTCTGAGAGTCCCACTGGTGTTCATATTCTCTGAGGGCCCATACAGGGATCTTTGAGGACCTGACACATGCGTGGACCTCTGAAGGGCCACACGGATCTTTGAGGATACTTTCAAATATTTCTGAGAACCTTAGGCCTCTGATAGCTCAGCCGAGCTTTTGAGGCGACAGATTTTGCTGAGCCCAAGCCTGCAGTTTAGGGGTCACGACTCAGGTGTGCCTCTGAGGGTCCCAGCACATGTTTCTTATGTCCCTATGTAGGGTCCTTAGGGATTCGACACAGACCTCCAGGTTCACACTGCTATTTGAGGGCTCCCTGCTCACCCTAGGCCTGGTCTCTTAGCGCCCGCGGCGCCGCCCACACTGGCTTCTGAGGGCCCCACCTTGGGCTCGGAAAGCCCTAAAGCACCACATACACGTAACTAGTTGGGGTGACCAACACCGATCTTCAGGATCCTAAGCAGGCCTCTGAGAGCTCACACTGACCCTGAGTGGCCTAAAATGGCCTGGAAGTCCCAAGCCTGTCGCCAAGGGGTCCTTTGCCGCTATGCCGTGCGAAATTTTGGTTCCGTTTAACATCTTTTCTTCGCATTTGCAGCGCTTCCCTACACACGAAAAACGAGAAACTTTTTGTTCACACTCTCGTGTGAACAAAATACCTTCTCTCACTGGAGCAAAGATGAATTAGGTAGGTACCTCTGATTCACACTTTCGACATTCACTCTCCGCCGAAAGCCCAACTTAGCTTCAATCGGCGGCTGGGATAAGCCCTATGCATTTTACGTAGAACCTCTGCATGCATGCGTGAATGAAAGTTTCAGCAAGGTGATTCGATTAAGCTGAACGTTTAACCTTTTTTATGATCATGAGCGACGAGCGTCTGCACAGGGGCTCTCCAGAGTGCGTCGGCAAGCGCAGCCATTGTGATTCTACCGGTCGTTTTTTGTTCAAAAATTTAAAAGAAAATGAATTTTCTTTAAAAAAATGGCAAGTCATAGCTACAAGGAAAACCTTGTCACCATCGTATTCCTCGTACCATTGCGCGTTGAATGATATGTAAAATGAATGAGTAACGACTGGAGGAAGGCAAGATTTAACACAAAAGTTGATTTTGCCCCCCCAACCGAAAATCTCTGGCGACGCCTATGATCACATTAATAGCACATGATAAGTTCCAGACGTCGATTCGCTTCAGTCGGACGTCTGCAATAATTCGCTACAAGATACCTATTACCTACTACGCATTTCAGACCCTCTGGAACAGTCCTTTTTGGCCCTTTCTCGTTACCTATACGCTTGATTTCAACCAAACTTTGACACAATGTGTTTCAAGGGCCTACCTAATTTTTACTAATATGGTCTTTTAACAAAATGTCAAAATGAAAGGCCTTTGTCGTTGACTTGTAATGGTAAAAATTGATCGTAAAACTCTGCACCGTGGTAGAGGCTAGCATGGCGTTGCAGCGTCAGCTGTTGCGCCGCAGCTAAGCTCCGCCCACTGTGCCGCGACACCGGGACCGGTCATTCGCCGCTCGGGGTCAGAGCGGTGCGGAGCTCTGACGGACTGGAACGAAACACACGCTAACGCAAGCATCATTGCGTGAATATTGTAAATGTCGTATCTCGCGCGGAGAGAATAAGGATGAAGAATTCAATGCAGATCGCGACGGTGTATGTATAAAACAATAAGCACTCCTAGCTACAGAATGTTATTCCCTATGCAGACTTAAAATAATCTTATTTTCAATAATTTATAGCGAGCCTCTCCGCAGCCGTTTTCCTACAGGCTATTGTGCATTTAAGGAGTAACGGGACAGAATTCACCGGACTGTATTTGCATTCAACGGCCTTATTTAATTGAAGATATCCACATAGATACTTGTAGGTATTTTGTTTTTTTTTTTGTTTCAAAGAATTTTTTTGGAGGGGGTGAAAATAACAGGTAAATCTTTCTATGACATTTCCACAATGCTTTCAGAATGTTGTTGATAGATTTTAGGCCCGAAAAACAATAAAACAGGGAAAAATATAGGATGACTCAATCTGAAAATGTAGATATGCAATATCGAGACCCTTGTCAGTCTCTCGTCTATACGTTTATAGTATATTGTCTCTCGTCTATAGCCTAATCTCTATCTTCGTCACTTGTCTCTGGTCTATCGTCTTCGTCTCCTGTCTGCTCTAGCGGCTATATGCATATTGTTTGTTGTCCACTAGCCAACGTTTACCGTTCGTCTCATTGTCACTTTGTCTCCTTTTCCTTTCTCTTTCTTCCTCCGTCCTTATTTGTCGTAGAACAACTTATTAAAAGTTCATGACATGCAAACAAGTGCTCCACTCCGCTGCGCTGCGTGCGCGGCCCGCACGCCGGCCGGCCAGACTGCGACTGCCGGCGACATGACCCGAGGCTGGACCGCAAGTGGGCGGAGCCAAGCCGCAGTGTGCTAGTGCGTCTCGACCAATCAGAGGGGAGACAGCGTCCAGCCTGTGTCAGCCTCTAAGCAGGGCTCTGACGACCTTAACATTATCAGTCAATGACAAGTGCCTTTATTTTTCATTTTTCGTTAATAGACCATATTGATAAAAATTAGGTAGGGATCTCAAACTACCAATGCCAAAGTTTGGTTAAAATCAAACGCATATACAACGAGAAATAGCCGAAAAGGACTGTTCCACAGGGTCTGAAACGCATAGTACATTACACTTATCAAAAGCGATCGACGGGTCGCTGCTCCTAATTCTGCCAGTGCGGCCGCGCCATCCGGCAAACGAGCCATGCGGCACAGCATACCTGCAGGCGTAAACCGCTAGAGCCATCTAGCGGCAGCTGTGCCAGTCGTGCGGCACAGCATACCGGCAGGCGTACACCACTAGAGACATCTAGCGACAGGTCTTAGAACCAAGTGCTGGCCGCCCCGGCCACCGACGTTGACGCTCATTCGAAGCGCTGTCATTTCAGTACAGCGGAGTGGTACCCGATTTTGTCGCAGTAGGAAGTTTTTTTTTCAAATAGCTTTCCCCTCAATAATCAGCATAAAAAAGAATGGCATGACATCACCCGTCACTACTTTGGTGATCCTCAGTACTCAAATGCGACAAAAATGTCATGAACCCGACGTCATGGACTCTGGAGATGCTCACCCTATCACTGACCAGTGACCTCAATTAGTTACCGAGGTTTATCTACAATGATTTGGCACATCAACGGGCTTTCGTAGCTCAGCTGAAGATAAAGTTGTGAATCAAGCTACAGTGTAATTCTGTCGATAATTTTAACCTCATCCCCCTTGTTTCCGGCAGTGACTGAAGAAGAGCGCAAGGAGCGCCGTGAGCAGCACCTGCCCCACTTTGTGATCCGCCTGAAGGACACCGAGATTCTGGAGCGCGCCTCCGTGGTGTTCATGGTCAAGGCCGAGGGCCAGCCGGAGCCCACCATCGAATTGTGAGTACATTTACACACAAAAGGAGAAAGGAAAGAATTGAACGGGTGTCTGGTCAAACTTAAAATGTGGTGCGTCATTAAAAGAAGAACTTTGATCGTTTTTAATATGGTTGTCTCCAATGAACTTGGGAAGGATTGTAAGCAGCATTTTTTATTAGAAAAAAAAGAAACGGAGTAGGTAATACAAAGATCCCATACTTCAAGTGGTTATGAGGATTCGTGACAGGTTTTGAAACAAGCCTTTTCGCCACAGCTGCTGTTATTCTCCGATTAACTCAGCAGCTCTAACCAGCTCTGATGATCTATGTTGGATGCAAATTAAACTAAAACCATACTGAGGCGACTGAATGTGAACCGGTCTCGTTCCTGAGACCTCTGTTCCATGGACAGCGGCGGCATCGCGGTGGATCGGTCTTCGCTGTTTATCGTTGGTGCAAATGTTTAGCGGGATTTTGTTGTGTCGGTGTTCCGATGTATGGAAGAACTGTCAATGGCGTGCCTCTCAGACATGTTTACCAGTCGATTGAAAGAGTGATACACTCGGAGACTATACAGAGAACAGACTCGGATACTATTTTCTCAGACTCGGTCTTTTTTTAATGATTTGTAGCAACATATGTAAGTGAGGTAAGAGACATGATCTGAAGAGCGCAATATGATGCAATTTCTAAAATGTTCCCAAAAATTAGTTATCTGCTAATGCTAGCAGGAATTATTAAATGCGTTGACCATTGCAAACCTACCGACCCCGATGACACCCGACTCTCTCCGCGACCATGACCCCGAGTGTAACAATGACCCCGCCTGTGTGACCCCGCCAGTTTCAAGGACGACGTGCCGCTGGCACAGGACGACCGAGTCTCGCTGACCCGGGAGACGAGTGGCGCCTACGAGCTGCAGATCCACCACGTCCGAAAACAGGACGCGGGTGTCTATAAGTGCGTGGCCACCAACAAAAAGGGACAGGAGGAGTGTCATGGCAACATCACAGTTACCGGTTAGTGACGTGAGGGAGGGCGCAGGTTAATTGCACGGTGAAATAACATTTATGTTTCTTTTTTTACATTTATATTTTCTTCACCCTCAAAGTGAGAGAGCAGCAGAGAGCAGCAACTAAGGAATAAAACCAAGATCCAGGCAAAACCGATAAAACCGACACAGATAAGCTGACCTACAACGAGCTCACTGTCTCAGAAATTTAGATTGTTGAGATAAATGTGTTGAATCTTTTTTATTCGTTGTTTGGCGCGTTGAGCGCACTATGTTGTATTCTAGCCATGCTCTACGAAGTTCTTATGTGGAATTTCTTGGTTGTTTCGTCGTAATTCTTATATCTGCATGCAATGATTGACCTGAATGATTATATCAGTTCTGCATTGATTTGCTTGCTCATCCTTTCTGTTTTGGTTTCCATAATTCAGGATATGAAAATCAGTCAGGACTTCCGAACTATCTGTCAGTTAACCTAAATGGCTCTTTTTTCGTTTTGTTTTACTGACCGTTAACACACTTCTAATTTTAACTTCTATTTTTATTTCCATTACGTGTTACACAAACGTCAAGGGCATTCACTAACCAGCGTTTCCAAAGCAAGCGTGTCGCCCGGTCTAACTCTCACTGAACTGCCACCCCGGCACTGACACCACTGCCCCCTGGCCACTGGCGGCGCCACCGCGACCCTCACAGACCCAGAGGACCCCGATGTCCTCGGCAAGGCCTCTGGTCTTCAGCAGGCCTCCACGAGAGGCCGCCACGACCGGCCCGACGGTCGGGATCGTGCGGACGGGGCTGGGGGCGCCCCAGGTAACGAAGGACAGGGGTGCGCCCCACACCCGGCCTATTTTCCCCGCAGTGTGCGAGTGAGCTCCCCGCAGTTAGCCCCCAGAGGTGCCGTATCCCAGTGTCATCGGAGAGGTATCCCCCGGTGATTTTTCACCATGGTGTCACCCCACCGTGTCTTCACCCCGCAGGTTATGTCGTCTGCGTTTGCGACTGTATCACCTTTTCAGATGCTGCTCGCCGATTGAGATGGTTGCATAGTCTGTATTATAAAGCTATTGTAGGTACGCTTCTCAAATACAATACAAATGATTATATACAGACAATTGACAGAAACGCTTTATTACCTATAGAAAACATGCCTCCATTTAGCACCACATGCCATAACATGCCTAGTGTTTCAGTAGCGCTACTGCTTTTGAGGTAAAATACGCTATGGTCAATGGTCATTGGTGTCGTTTGTCCTCTAAGCTGAATAATTTGTATTTGACCGCTGTATTTAGATTGCCTTCCGTTGTTCTTGTTTCTGCACACACAATTCCCCATTCACGGAATAGGTCAAAAGCAAATATCCTCCATGATTAACCGGAGAAATATTAACGAAAAAATCAAAATGTTTTGCAGCATATGCCTTTCTGTACGACATGTGAGGTTAATTAAAGTGCATGTATGGCCTAAGCTTTTGAATTCATTTTAAAAGGGGGGGAAACCGCAAGAAATTACCCAACGTTTCGCATTTATTGCTTAGTCATGGGTCCACCCATGACTAAGCAATAAATGCGAAACGTTGGGTAATTTCTTGCGGTTTTCCCCCCCTTTTAAAATGACTTCAAAAGCTTAGCCCATACATGCACTTTAATATGTCACACCTGTCTATTGATAATCCTCAACATGTGAGGTTAACTGGCACACTGGTACACCATGGGCGGATAATAAGCCTCCACAAATCTTTTTCTAACAGGGGTCTGGCATTCGTATTCCATTCCGCCTGCCCGAGTTTCCAAAGTCCTTTCAGCCTTTTTCACAGCGTAAGCCCTCAGTAACCGGTTGTTTGATGATGCCACAGATGACGACACTGCGGTGTTCAGCCTCCTGGACAAGCAGAAGGAGATTCAGGACGCCGAGAACACCAACTTCACCTGGTTCAAAGACGGAGAGGAGTTCGACCCCGCCGAGAGGTTCAAGGTCCTCTTCAAGGTACGCCTAAATTTGAGTTTGGTTCTTTGAGGTCAACCAGTAGTCACAGAACCACAATGGTATGGCAGAGCTCCACGGTAGTTGGTGATTGGTCACTTATTCTGAGCACAAGCTCCCAAGACGCAACACAATTTTGTCTCCTGCGCATCGCTGGACATCCATTTCAAACTAGCGTCGATGTCCTCCAACACCCTACCTCCCCACGGCACGCGACATACGAGCGCCACACGGGACAATAGGGACAATAGATCGAAACACTGCCCTACCACAATTGGATGTCCGTGACCACATGGACACAACTGACTGCCCTACCTGACCACATAGTCCCCCCTAACCGACGACTCCCCTCCCACACATAATGAAACGTCAGGAGAATGGTCTCCCGACTGATGACTCTGTTATCCCTTTGATTGACCCTTCCCCTCGACTTTTGAACGAGAGACCAGGAGGATAACCTCCTGACTGATGACTTTGTGATCTCCTCTGACTGACCTCTTCCCTCCACACAGGACGAACGGCCAAGATGCTCTCCTGACTCTGGTATCTCCTCTGACTGACCCCCCCCTTCCCACAGGACGAAGAGGACACGTTGGCGCTGGTGTTCCAGCACGTCTCGCCCGATGACGCCGGCATGTACACGTGCGTGGCCGCCACAGAGAGCGGACGCATCTCCTGCTCGGCAGAGCTCACCGTCCAGGGTCAGTCCCCTCGCACTTGTTCGTTTTCTTCGAGGGGGGGGGGAGGGGTTGGTGCGCTGAGAGGGGTATGTGAGGTGCGGGGTTGGTGGTGAGAGGAGTGGTGAACGAATATGGGTTAGGCCGGTCTGGTTACACATAGAACAACGTAGATAAAGTCGTGGTGTTGAAATTATAAGACACATTCACACAGTTTGCAAGAATGATCATTGACATTTTAGATGTTAATTCCTGTTTTCCATCCATATCTCAAAGACTAGGATTTAGAGCAAAGGAAGTGACGAATTATTTTTGATCGAGGAACGCTGCCTAACTCGTCCACTTTTGCCACTCGTCCAGTCCAGAGCCGCCAGCTCCGATTCGGAGTCATAAGATACTGTGCCGCCGGACTTACATGCACTGCGGCACAGCATACCATGTCACAGTGTGAGACACGTAGCCGATGGAGATTATCGTGAAGTGGAATGTGTGGACACAGTACATTACTACTTTCACAGTGTATAGTCACTCAATTTCACATAAATTTGTACTTCTGTCAAACCCGTTTACATTGAACAACAAACCAGTACGAGTACATTTATCTTTCTCTCTTTCCTGGCTTTCGTGACAACTGATCACTCAGACCAGTAGGGGAGAGTGGGGAAAGATGCCCAGGGTTTTACTATGTCATATATTATTCGAAAATGACGATCCGAAAGCAAAAACTTGGGAGTTTCAACGGAAGCCGACATCATTTGTCTCCAAAAATATCACACTTTTGTGCCTGAAATATGATAACTTTTTTTGCTATTAAGCATTTTCCTGAAGAAGTGAAAGGGGGCATCTTACCCCACAGGGTGGGAAAGACGCCCCCTGGCGTTGGGGAAGATGCCCCTGCACTATAACTGACATAAATGGGCACGTGAATCACCTGAACGAATCAGTAGTCTCTTCGAGCCTGCAGTAGACACCAAACGACATCGTAAGGGCCCTCAAAAGTAGTCGTAAGGGGCTTCAGAGGTCGTCGTTAGGGCCATCATAGTCCAGCGCGGCCAAACAAGCCTCCGTGGTGGCGTTCGAAGACCACTGTGGGGCCCTTATAGGTCTTCATGATGCTTGAGGGCCCTCGAGCCCATCGTGGGGACCTCAGATGCCAGCGCGGCCCGTGGAGCCAACGTGGGAGCCCTCAAAGGATGTCGTGAGGGGCCCTGGAGCCAATAATGGGGCCCACAGAGGCCGTCGTGAGGGCTCTCAGAGTTAGATGCCGCCCAAAAAGTCGCTGTGTGGGCCGAGAGACCGGCATGGGGAGCACCGACCGTACTGGGCTCTCAATAGTCCCAGATCGGCTTTTGTCTCTCATCACAAGTGTGTAATAAATGATTTGACGGGCTGCTTGAAGGACAGCCTACGGATTTAGGGGGGGCGTCTTTCCCCATCAGGACAGGGGGCATCTTACCCCAAGGTACCGAAGTAACATTAAATCAGTACAATTTTTTAGCCATATAACTACACCCTGAAACAAACTGTTTGCGACACAGTACACGCATGTTAATGTATCACGACTATAGCAAGAGACGTAAAAATTATCTACCTTCTTTGATATTTACAATGTTTTGACACCAAAATATTTTTTGAAAGCAGCAAATAAAAAACATGCAATCACCAGCCAGCCGTTGCCCAACTGAGCTTCGCAAATTTTTGTGCAGTTAACAAGGCAGGCTTCCGCTTTACGCTAAGAACATTAATTTCTAGGTTCGATTCTTTGTTTCGCCGCTAGAGGGGGTGGGGCGTCTTTCCCACCCTGGGCATCTTACCCCACTCTCCCCTACTAAAAAAAATAACAGCTATTTCTTCTGGCTAACAATCTCCACACACAAAACCAGATTAACAGTTAAGCTGCGGTGCGAATTTCAGTTCGCAAGAGAGAACGCCACGATTCCTTGGACACCATAGATGAGCTGGAGTACGAAGGCAAGGGTTAACACATTCTCGAGTAGTCCAGACTAAAATGGAATGCTCTACCTGTCAAAATATCGTTGTACGAGTCACAAACGCTTCACAAACAGAGCGGCTGACTGGAGAATGTGTTTCTATGTTCTCTCAATATTTCATCTGCAAACATTCTCTCATGTGTTTCTATGTTCTCTCAATCTTTCATCTGCAAACATTCTGTCATCTCACTCTGTTGGAATTACGTTAACTGCATATGAGTATTATATCACTGTGTTCTACTTTCCTTCACTAATCCCATAAACGTATCATAAACGGTGTCAAATCATTTAATTTATTATAACGCAACCGTCTCAACATCAGTGACCTCAGTTACCTTCGGATCAAATTCATATTGACCCCAGCTTCCCCAGAAAGCACGGCAATCGGCAGCGAAAGTTTTGACTGACGGGACCAGTCATACCCATCCCAGCAACATAATTTTCCGACATCGATAACGATTAGTAATAAAAGGCTTTTCTTATCATTGTTTAACCAAGATTTATCCTTCTAAAGTTGGCCTTCTGAAGTTTTCTTCAGTTGACTAGCCTTTCAACACAATTGTTCCGAGCCAAAAACGATTCGAACCCTATAAAACGTGAATAAATGTGTGCTGATGCGATTGTTATCTCACAGATGTAATCTATGCGCCGGAGGTAGAAGGTAAACGAATAAACTGCAAATAAATGTGTGCCAATTGTACAGTGTACATATCGAAAACACGCAACAAGAGCCCAACTACACAAGTTTCATTCCAAGTCGTGGCTTAACAGAAAGAAAGAAAAATGTTGGTAATGTGCAAAGCAGCTTTTATCCTCCTACACCCAACTGAAGCATACAGTAAACTGAAACAGATACCTACTGCCTAAATGAGACACTTATCGACGAAGTATTCCTATCTTAAACATGTTTTAAACCGTAAACAAGACATAAATGATACTTCAACAGCACTCTTCTGTAAAAAAGACGGCTACCTCAGCATAACTACAAGGCTCTACCGATGTGTTTTGGTTTGTGTGTATGCCGAGCTGCGAACACAGGTGGGCGACCTGTGACTTCTCGAACTATCCTTTTGCGCGAAATATATCGGCACTTACATTCTGGTGGAGTGAGGCTTTACTTGTGTTTCTGCTGCTTGGTTGAGTGAGCTGTGCTGGCGTGCCTTGGACGATTTTTTTCCGTCGATGGATGGTAAAATGGTTCGGGTGTATTTCAGTCAGTCTGTGACAGTCTGTGTCTGTCTGTGAGCATCATTTAAGCCTCCTTCGCAGTTCGCAGTCTGTCGCCAAGTCCAGAATGAATCCGGTGCCAGTCCGTTGTCAGTATGTGATTTCGTGTCAATGGCTTCACTGGTGCGGCCGTGTCTTATGTTGGCTAATGTGCTGGAGCCCGCACATTTATCGAAGGCGGGTCTATGCTGCCGTGGTGGATTTTTTTTGTTGCAATACCGTGTTACATGACTGTAAATAGCTTTTGAAGTCGCTCTCGGTTGGAATCTTCGTGAATAGGCATTCGAGTACATTTGCCTATTCAGGAATAGGCAAATGTTCATTACACCAGAGTACATTTGAAGTGTGAGCTGTTTGCGAACTCTTCGCGACATTATTGCACACAACAAAATGTGAAAAAGTAGATTTTTTCATGTTTTGAAATGATATAAATTTCACGTCTCAAAAGACAAAGTTGCGCCGCAATGTGGCTATGTTCTGCGATAGCTCTTTTGGCTAGCGACGCCCTTCTTTTAAACTTTGAATCATCAATATTTTACTACGTATTCTGGTTGAGTGAAATTCAAATGCGCAGGGATATGTTTTAAACGCTTCCATCGCTTTCATTCTACCACTGAATATCTCTGTTAATCATTCATAGAAATGCAGTCGATAGCACCAGTTCACTATCATACCTGTCACTCGTTCTGCCCTGAGTGGACTCTTCCCTTTCCCTCCGCTGACGCTCTAATGCTACCCCAGGTGGTGTGAAGCAGCTGCCTATGGAGCCCGAGGCACCCAGTGTGGTCGAGGGCCTTCAGAAGACCGAGGTCAGCGCAGGAGGCTCGGCGATGCTCGAGTGCAAGCTCAGGGGCTACCCGGCCGTCAACGTTACCTGGTGAGTGGCAATCGACGGGGTGTGGTGTTTGGTGAAACGTGTGGTTAGGGCCTTGTGACGCGTGACTGATATTTAAGCCAGTAATGCATGTAAAACTATTCCGAAGATCATCCATGCAGTAAATGGTATGAAGCCAAACATAATTATAGTTTGCAGAATTTGCCAAATTTCATTGGCTTTTACGATTTTCTTATTAAATGGACTTTCGTAGTATTCCAGTCTTAATTTTGTCTCAGTTTTTAGGTGTCAGTCACATTCGTCCGTTCAATCCTGTCGTGACTTCAGCCGCTGTTGCTCTCATCACTCTTGACCCATGACCTCTGCTGACCTCTGACCTCTGCTGACCTCTCGCAGGACACTGAACGGCGAGGAGATCAAGCCGGGCGGTCGGTTCCGTATGCTGTTCGAGGACAGTGAGACTGTGGCGCTCATCATCAAGAACGTGACCGAGGCCGACGCCGGGAAGATTCAGGTGACTGCCAGGAACGAGCTGGGAGCCTGCACTTCCGAGGCCGACCTCGTCATCAAGGGTAAGACAAATAACGGGGCAGAAGTGCAGAAAACATCGAGAATGGGCAAAGTCTTGGGCTGCATTTATAGTAAAATTCTAGTCATTCTTTTGTAACGTTACTTCTCAACCCAGGGCATTTAACTTCTTCACTTATCTTCACAAGAAAATGAAAAGCTAAAAAATGGAAACGTTAAAATTTTTGAAGCAAGTATTTCACAACGCTATCTTTGGAACGACGGGCCATATATTTTATTCACAATCCTTTGTGTCACAGGTCCGCCGAAATTCCGGAAGAAGATCCAGGACATGGCGATCATGATCGACGAGACCGTGAGGATCGAGGTGGATATCGACGGAACGCCGAAACCAGAGGTCAAATGGTAAGCTGCATTTAACCAGCCAAATATCAAACGATTATATTTTTTCATAACAACACTTGCACCAACATCCATAAGATACAGTTACTGTATTGGCATGTATCGTATCGAGGTTCTAAGTTTGAACTGAGGTAGTCTGTAGAAACGCGCAATATATGCTGGCAGCCATTCTGTGAGTCAGAAGTGAACACTGAACATAGGTCGATGAATCAAGGGCAGTGGGGCCACATTCCTTGAGGGAACCCTCGCTTACTCCGGGATAATTCTGGCACAATAATTTTGGCCAGCCATGCTGTAGTGAGCGAGAGTGGGGAAATCTGTTTGAAATCGAGTGTTGCAGGATGCCAAACTGTTGATAACGAGTCAGCATACCTACGTCTAACCCCAGACGGTAACCCAAGGGACATTACCCAGTATCCGTATCATGAGCAAGGTTTATTTTGAAACTTTGTACCGCCCAATCTTAATTGCTGCGCCAATCTCATCGTTCTTTTTGTGGGATACAGTTCTCTTTCACTTTTTATTGTTTGAATGTAGGATTAATAATCATGCTTAACGTTGAAAACAATAACAATTCTTCTCCGTGAGGTCAACTCTTACGATAGACAATAAGCAAGGCTCAGCTATAAGCTCACCGCCACCACCCGCACTCCACAGCCATGACGAGACACAACTATCTGATCATCAACCACTATGATCCGTGATACCCCTGGCTGAGTGTCTCCCTCGCTCCCTCTCCCTTTGTCTCCCCCTACCCACTCTAACCCTCTCACCACACACCCCCACAGGTACAAGGACGGACAAAAGCTGACCGAGACCGACCGACTCCGGCTGGTAGAGGAGTCAGACACCAAGTATGTGCTGCTGATCGACCGCATGGAGCTGACGGATGCTGGCTCGTACTCCATCGTCGCCAGTAACACGATGGGACAGGTAAGGATCCCTCAAAATTAAATACTGATAGTTTTACAGTTAATGCTTACTATTCTCCAAGCATCGCTTAGTTTATTGTTTCTTTGCTTCTAATTTTGTATCTTCTTTGGTTCTTCATTTGTCGACCTGTGTAATTTTCACCCATTTCCCTAACAAATGATGACACAATATCGTCTGATCTCTAATGACCATGGATACCCCTGCTGAAATTGGCAGACTCCACCACCACCTGCGGGTCACCCGATACCCCTCTGACCTGACACTGTTCCCCCAGATGTCCGACTTCTGGAAGGTCACGGCACAGGCCCCGCCCAAGTTCACAAAGCAGCTCCTCAGGGAGGTGGTCAAGGGCGAACAGGAGAGCGCCACCCTCGAGGTCAAGATCCAGGGCAGCCCCGTGCCAAAGGTCAAATGGTACGTGCTTCTGGAGGAAGAAAGACTGGCTGCCGGTTGTTCATTGAATTCACTGTTTGAGCATGCTACTTATAAAACGTTTTTGTAAGCGTGCTTGATGGAAACACAACCTAAATATTACGAAGAAAATTAATCAGTTGAGCATTATATTTACAACAAATAACTGCATTGTATATGATGAATTGCAACAGCTACTGTATCCTACTGATGACGGATAACCTCTGACGTTCCACGCCTCTCCCCGTTCCTTTCCTCACACCTCGCTCCTTCTAACCCACCGCTGCCGCTCCCCTCAGGTACAAGGACGGTGAGGAGATCACAGTGGACGGTCGCCACTACTCTGTGGAAAATGACGGACACATCTACACCCTGACCATCAACGGCCTGACTCGCACCGATAGCGCGAAATATACATGCAAAATCAGCAACGAGTTCGGTCAGGACGAGGTGGGGAAGACTAACGAATGATTTGAACGCATCGAATATTGTTCTGTTTCATTTTATTTAATATTTTGGCTCGCACCGCCAAAGAGCGTTTCCTCTATGTAGTATCTTGTTTCATTTCCTCGCGTACCTCATCAAATGGAGCCTCGATAGAACCATTTCTGATTAATTCTTGGTTTCCCACCTCACCTCTACACCCACCCTGTTCCAGACCACCTGCCAGCTGCACGTCAAGTGCGCCCCGGAGATCGACAGCGGCCTGGGAGACATGGACGTGCACGAGGGAGAGCCGTTCACACTGGAGATTGAGGCCACCGGCTACCCAGTGCCCGTCGTCAAGTGGTTAGTGGACAGGCTAGCGGGTCTTTGTGCTGAGTGAAGTTCCGCAGAGTACTCGGATGGAGAGGAAGGGATTATTGTAGCCATTTGTAGTGTAGGTGGAAATAATATTTTTGGCAATTAGGATGGAGATAAGCTTTGCGTAGGGTAAGGTGGTAAGTTGTCGATGGATTCCGCAATTAATTTATGTTACCCGTGGACGTAGACCATTGTTGAAACATAAAATAATCAAATAGGAATGTTGTTGCCGTGGGCTATCTAAGCATGCCATTTCATCAGAAGCCAGTTCATACATTAGAATGACTCAATATGTACGGCATACCTTCCTGCTTCAACACTGCTGTCTTTATCTCTCTCTAACCGTGTCTAAAACCTCCCCCAGGTACATTGACGACGTCGAGATCACCGAGAAGCAGAACCTGTACAAGAAGGAGCACGACGGCAAGTTTTTCCGTTTGAACGTGTCTACGGCCAACTCCAGCATCATCGGCACCTACCGGTGCACCATGAAGAACGAGCTCGGCTCCTGCGAGACCAGTGGATTCATCAATGTCCTCAGTAAGTAGCGTTGTGCCTTGTCTTTGTTCCTTCTGAGGGTGCACACAACCGTGATCTTTACATGAGCACCTCATCAATATTGCCTGTAAAAAATTGCAGTTATTTTTTTCTTCAATACGCGGTTAATGCGAGAACCCGAATGCAATTGTGGCTAGACATATTGTCTAAGGATCCACCACAGCACTGGCCATTGTGTCTATAGCTTGATATTACTTCGAAACCAAAGTGAGGTTCCTCAAGTCAGAGATCACCAGTACGGTAGTGACGGCGCGCATCTCTTGCTTGCAGAATCTCCCGAGTTTGAGGAGCCATTGTGCGATACGGGTGCCGACGAAAACAAGCCGCTCACGCTGAAGGTCAAGATTCTGGCTGTTCCCGAACCGGAGGTCACTTGGTAAGTGCACAAAGTCGCTCACTGGCTGGACACCAGACAGCAGCTGCTGCGAATCTGTCGTGAGAGTCGTGGGCTTTTACCTCGGGGATACTTAGCGCAAAAAGCAGGGCCGCAGAGTCGATGGAATTTCAGTGACTTCAGCTCCGACTCCGGACAGAACTGTCGACTTCGACCTACTCCGACTCCGCAGACCTCCCAGTTACAGGGCGCCGACTCTAGTCTAGGCTGGCAGGGCCACCGCCCTTACCACGACTGGATCTGGCCGGCTGAAGTCTAAGCTCTCCCAGGCTGGCTGGTAGGGCTGCCGCTCGCTCCGACCGGGGCTGGCCGGCTGCCAGCAGCGGCACCAGATCCGTTCCAGTGGGCCAGCTGGCGGCCCCATGGAATGCCAACAGCAGCCGCCAACTTACCTGTGCCTGGGCGCGGCCCCGCGTACACCGCACTTCGCAGTTACCGATGGATATTTGTTTGCCATTTCTAGAATGCAACTATTATATATCCTTGCTTCGATGATGAAACAAAATATTCTGATCCGTAATGACCATGGATACCCCTACTGAATGAGATTGCCCAAATACAAGATATCCCTTGGCGTTTTCCAGAAGGTAATCCCTCCGGACCCCATCCTTTCTCTCTCAGGTACCGAGACGGAGAACCGATCACGGCCAAGTCGTCCGAGATCCAGATCAGCCGGGACGGCGAGTACTACAGCATGACCTTCAGCAACGTCAAGGAGGCGCACCAGGGCAACTACTCTGTGATGGCCAAGAACAGTCAGGGCGAGAACTCATCCTCCATGCACCTCACGGTCTACAGTGAGTTGGCCTCGGCCGGTCCGCCGCTCCAGGCGCGATCACTGGACGGGGCCGGAGACGGGCGCAGGTGGCACCGCGGTGCGCGTGGTATTTTTACCCCCGTGTCTGTGACGTCATCCCTGTCTGTGACGTCATCCTGTCAATTTGGCGCCAGCCGGGCAAGGTGGGAGCGCCCAGCGCCGATCCGCCGCGCCCAAAGCGAGGCGATCGGGCGCGACACAGAGCCTGTGTTGTCCTCATGTGATGTCAGTCCTGTCATTATGTACGTTTGTCGCAGCCGTGTCTGTTGTGCGCCACCCTGTAGTGTGTCGCTGGTATTTGTTCCATGTTGTCACCCTGTAACCCGGCGCAAAAGGCGTTCGCCGGACCCCGCGCATTGCCCCGGGAATGCTCCTGAATGTTGTGCTCCGTGACTTGCTATGTGTCCCCGTTAAACCAGTTTACCAGCCGCCAAGACCCTCCCCCGGGACACAAACACGCTCTAGTAATAGCATCCGATCCCAAAATAGACCAGCTAACTCCGTCCAGTTGACTAAGAAAACAAAACACGTAGACTGACCCGGTCCACTAAGAGAACAGCTCGTTGACATTTGCGTAGACACATGTAACTAGTTGAGTGTACGTAACTAGATGAGTGTCTCCCTCCCAGTGAACTGACTGACTATCCTCCTCTCCTAAATCATCACCTGACGGCTTTAAACTACCCCAGCTCCGCCTGCCTGCCGCGACCGTCGCGTCGGTTTCCGTCCGACGCGACGGCACGGTCACACGTGGGCGTCTGAATCAGCCCTGACGGCCCGCCGGCTGGCCCGCCTCGTTTTAGCGCCCGGCACCCGTCCCTCAGTCAGTCAGCCGGAGGGCGACGAGCGTGGTGCGGAGACCGGTGTCGGAGACGGGGACGACGCGGCCGGCATGCGCCGCGTGGTGCTGCAGGAGACACTGGTGAGTGTGACGACTGACGGCGACGACGCGACGGTCATCTCGCAGACCGTCACGCAACGAACCGACGACGGCGACAGCGAGACGAGAGTGGAGCGGCGCGGCGAGGCGCGACGCGCCAGCTCCGCCGAGGAAACGGGCGCGGGAGAGGAGAAACCGGCAAAACGGAGAAAGAGTAGCTCCGAAAAAGGTGACGGCAAGAAGAAGAAAGAAAAATCAGGAAAGCGAAAAGAGGATGAGGCAGATCATGAGGGAAAGAGCAAGAAGAAAAAGAAAAAAGACGGTGATATAATGGACACGGCTGCAAAAACCGTTCGCTTTATGGAGGAGGAACAGCGCAAGGAAAGCGACGATTTCTGGGGCGACCAGACCATGGGTGAGGCCGAAGATGACACGCACTCTGAGAGTCAAAACAGGCGGGACTCACGTGACAGGTCAGGTAGAAATGCAGAAGATGATTTGATTGAGAGCGCGGAAAGAGCTGTTAGGCTGATGGAAGAGGAACAACGGAAAGAGAGTGATGACTTTTGGGGCGAGAAGACTGCGGACGATCATCACGAATCACACGAGAAGACACGAAGAGATTCTGATACTACTGACAAAACTAGAAAGAAGTCGAAAGACCAGGATATTGGAGGTGGTACGAAGAAAACAAAGACCGTCCACGAAGAATACACAGTAGAAATGGAAAGTGAATATAGCGACGGCCAAGGCGACAGTCAAAGGAAAGGCGACAGCACTGACAAGCGGAAGGTCAGCAAGAAGATGACAATGACGGTTACTGAGGAGCACAGCTCCCAGGCTGGGTCCGAAGGAGACGGTGGCGCCGCTGATTCCAAAGCCTTAAAAAAGTCTAGGCAAATTGGAGCAAAAGACGAGCAGACTCAGGCTTGGGATGAGCAAGGTAAACGGAATGATGATGATGGATTTATGGACAACTTCTCGAAGACTGTTAAATCTTTACATGATGAGCAGCAGAAAGAAAGTGAAGTGTTCTGGTCGGACGATAAGGAAGATAAGGGCCCAACTGCCAATAAGCCTACATCAAAACGTGAGGACGAAACGGCTATAGCCAAGAGAAAAGGCGTATCCGACGAGGATTTTATTGAAAGCGTTTCGAAAACAGTGAGATCCATGGTTGATGAACAGGATGAGGAAAGTCGGGCGTTCTGGGGTGATGACTCAAACAAAAAAGACACAGAAGGCGGGAAGGAAAGAAAACAACGTGATGCTCAAACCCAAGACGAAGACTATGAAGATGATGACAAAAGGTCACGCAAACATAGATCCGAAGTGAAAACCTCACGAAAAGACAGTGTATCTACGAAGTCCGAGATCGACGAACAAATAATCGATTCTGATGAGGTTCGCCAAAAGGGAATAGATGAAGACAGCAGAGTCACAAAGAAAAGAAAGAAAAGTCTTCAGAAAGACAGTGAGGAAGAAACTGAAGAGCGACGTCGCGAAGACGGCGATTCTCATCCAGGAAAAGATGGCAAAAAGGTGATAAAGAAGACCGTTAAAACCACGTACGAGGAGGAAATTTCTGAAGTCGAAGACCTCGTTGGAGTTAAACCTAAACCAAGGGGAGAGGGAAAGGACAAATCGAAACGAGATAGGAAACAAGACATCAAAATCATTCACGAAGCGAAATCAGATAATCATCAGGACTTATTGACTAAATTTGAAGGTGACGATGGTGATGCATTTATGGATAAGGCATCGAAGACTGTTATGTTTATGAGAGACGAACAACAGAAGGAAAGTGATGACTTCTGGGGTGACATGAAGGACGAAGCTATCCAGTCAGACGTCATCAAAAAGATAACAAAGCAGACAGCCGGGGCAGATGAAGACGAAGAATCCTGCCATGGTGTTAAACACAAACGCCAGGACCAGAGTCCTACAGATAGTGATGATGGCACCGACAGAATCGCGAAAACCGTCAAGTCGATGAAAACCGAAGAAACAATAACGACCAAAGACGCCATGGAAGCTGATGACTACATACCCGAAGGCCTCACTCCCGAAGAGGTGGCCGCAGGCCCTCGCGAACCTTCCATGCCAGACCAGCCGCAACAGAAGAAACCCTCTAAGCACTACGACCAGGATAAGCCCAGGACAGACGCACCAGTGGACGGCGGTCCAGGTCCTCCCGAAACCCAACCAGAGTCCACCATACCTCCCACGGACTGGTCCGGAGACAGTCTGTTCTCTGACCAGGCCGCGCAACTGGACGCCATGCGCCGTCAGATGCAGGCCGACAGCGACGCCTTCTGGGGCCGGGACTCAGACCAGTGTCGTGTTCAGGAGATCAGCAGCGAGCCGTGGGAGGGGGGACGGCCCGAACGCTCCGCCCGCCGCCCTGCCAGCCAGCAGTCCGGTATCGTGCAAGAGTTCGAGTCGGATGACGGAGCCAGCGAGACGGCGACGGCGGCAGGGGACAGCCTTCACCGGCAGACGCACTACCAGCAAGTCATCACGACCGTTATTAAAGGTGAGAAACTTTCATTTTATATTTAAAAAACTGTAACCTATTTTGCAAGAAAAAAAGTTCTTGCACCGATTGAGAGGAATAACAGACGTGCTTTTCACTACGTCTGTTAACATTACCTTCATGGTTTCGATAGCTGTGGTAATATATCATCAAACGCATGTTTCTACTCCAAAAATAGACATCAGTGCAATATCAAATTCCGCCTTAGAAAGCCCAATACATTTATTCTTCATCACATGTCATGCTTCCTAGCTAACGGTGATTTCGACATTTCCAGATGACGGTGAGCGCGTGACCACGCGGTCGCAGGTGCTGGAGACCTCCGGTGGTGAGTACGGTGAAGCGACCACGGTCCACGTGTCGGAGGAGACCGATCGTCGACTGGGAGGGGGACGTGCTCACGACGGTATGCACAGCGGGGACGAGGTCCACGCCAGTCGTGCACGGTCCCTAAGGGATGCCGGAACAGAGACGGTGGTGCAGGAGGGTAAGGCTGTGCCAAAGGATAAATCAGCGGAGTCCAGAGGAACAGAAATGGATCATGATGCGGAAGGTGATATCGAGAATGTGCAACAAAAGAAGCCCAAAAGACTGGAAAGGGATGTTCCAATTCATCAGGATGTTTCAAGTGAAACCGGAAAAGATGTTCCCATCGTCCAGGACGACTTCGAGGAAGAACAAAGCAAAGATAGAGATGTTCTTATAGATCAGCGTGAGGCAGCAGTTGGGAAAGCAAAGGAAATTCCAATACATCAAGATGACAAAATTGCATCAGAAAGAGATGTGCCGATTTTCCAAGACAAGCCCGAAGAAGAAACGAGTGAACGGGAAATCCCAATACAGCGGCTTGATGAAGCTGAAGATAGAAAAGATGAGAGGGATATTCCCATTCAGCAAGATGATGAAAAGCCTGTGAAAGATGTGCCCATTATTTTGGATGACTCAAAGGACGCGGAGGATACTGGGAAGGAGGTCTACATTCAACAAGACATAGATCGTAGAGAAGACGACAATATAGAGGTGGCGCACAAAGATGCTGAGCACAGAACATCCGACACGAAAGTTCCAGTTGAAGATAGAACCGACGAAATACACGAACCTGATGGCAAGACTTCAATGCAACATGAGTCCGTGGCTGCTAGCGATGAAGAAACGTTGACACAACAACAATCGCAAGAAGTCCAGACAGAACAAGACGCCCCTGACATCAAAGCTGATGTAGGAGCACGTGATGCCGTTGATGACGGGACAGGCACGGCTCATCTTGGAGGTGGCACGGATAAGCATGTTGTGAAGAAACGAAGCAAAACAGTTGTCACTGAGTCTTCAGACGAAGAGGGATCTGGCCGTGGGTCTCCTAAGCGAAAGTCAAAACATCAGGCCGACAAGGTTTCAGGCAAAGAAGACCAGGAACCATCAGACGCACCGGATGAGCATGACGCCGAAACATCCCGGAAGACAGAGGATGATCGTATTGATAAAGTGGCAGAAAAAGATGTTTTAGTAGTACAAGAAAAACTTGACAAAGACTCAGCAGAAGATACAGAAAAGCAGTCGACTGAGGCGGATGCGCCAGTACCGGAAGATGATGACGAAAATGTTCAAATGTCTTTGGATTCAAAAACGGTCACCCTTGGTGGTGAGGTCAAAGTGGAGACTGCTATGGGAGAAGAGAAGCAAATTACCATGGATTCAGACGGAGGCTTCAATGAAACTGATAAAAAACTTACGGAGGCTCCTCAGAAATTAAGGCCGGATGAAGAAGGTGAAAAACAGGCCCCAGTCTCTTCCGATGCCGATACTGAAGCTAAAAAGGATAGTGAAGAGCCTGCTTTCGGACTTACGACAACAGAGGCACCAGAAGCCACTGATGTCTCAACTTTCACAGATAACGAAAATAAACGACATGATGAGATCTCAGAACAAAAGGAAAAAGATACTGCTGCTACAATTTCAGAACAACCATCCGACAGAAAACCCTTATCAAGGCGGCTATCAGAAGAATCTGTCGGGAAAGATATAACCGCACAGGATGACAAAATATTTGCATCAAAGCCTGAAAAGAAATCTACACCAATTATCGAGGAACAGCCACAGGAAAATGTCGCACCCCAAAAGACTCCACTCGATGAGGGTGAGGCTAAAATCAGTGAAGCAGAAGAAGATCTTCACCTTGGAGGCGGTACTGATAAAGAGTACAAAGAAGAGGCGCCATTGAAGGAGCCTCCTGAAGAAGACTTCCTGGATTACCGTACAACGGAATCCGAGAACGCCGACAAAGAGCTGTCAAGTTTAAATGAAACTGAAGATAATGAAGGTCAGGAAACACAAACAGTACCGGCTGATTTAGAGTTTAATGCCGAATCAGAAAAATATACTAGATCACAATCAGATGAGCGGGACGCAAAAACTCAAACTGCAGATGATGTCCAGAAGATCCAGGAAGAAACTTCTGTCCCAGCTGATGCTGACATTGTATCTCATCCCAAGGACGATGAAAAAGATGTGGCAATAGAGGAGACTGTCCCAGCTAAGCTGGGCGGTGAGGTTCAACTCAAAGAATGGGGCAAAGCGAAAGAAGGCGATGTCATGGAGGGGAACAGAACAATCAGCGATGATGAACAGGAAACAAGCACTTCTGGCGTGGCAGTCACACAGAAAGAAAATCGTGCCTCGTTGGAGGATGAAGACCTATCTCGACACGCCAAGGACGTATGTGAAGAGAATGTGGCAGAGGTAGCAGACACATTCGATAGCTCTGGGGAGCAGGTTGAACTGAAGGCTACTACTGAGACTGGTCCATCAAAAGCTCAGGATACGATGCAAGACACCAAAGGAAAGCCAGATTCAACCGACGCGAAATTAGAGGAAGAACCAATTGTAACGGGAGATGAGCCCTGTGAGGTGTCGGACACCAAAGAGGATGATGTTGAAGATGCTAATGCTAGTCCAAAGTCGACCTCTGATGAAACTATAACTGAAGAGGACGTCACAAGCGTGACAATAGCGCGTAAAGCATCTGGTCCCGAAAAGGTTTCCGTAGATGAAGATGACTTTTGGGCCCAGCTAGCATCTAAAGATGACGAAGCTACAGAACAAGCCGAAGGAAGCAAGGATTTGCATACATCAGCTAAGGGCAGTGAAAGCGTTGAGGAACAAACATCAGACGAAGTTGAAACTTTGGCAAAACATGACGAAACCAAGACCATATCAAAAGACGAGCCGGATACCGGTGATGTGCAATCTGGTGAGAGACAACCTGAGGAGGATGTTCGTCTTGGAGGAGGCAGAACAAAGACTGACACCGATAAGGGTGACACTGAAACACCTTTGGTTGTAAGAGAAGAAGTTCCCACGCCTGATGCCGCTGCAGATGAAACTGTACACGCTAACGACGGCGAGACGGTTGAAAAGGCAGAAGTACTCTCTGAAGTGAATGTTATGCCAATCAGAGACGAAGACAATGAAGTTGTTAGCCCATCATCTCAGGATGGCGCTGATGGTGACGGCCAATTCGTCAAAACCACTGATGAAGAAATCCAGGACGAAAACGATGGTCAGCGAAAGGGACCAGAAGCTACTGCTGATGGAGCCAAGGTACCTTCTGAGCCCAAGGTGACTGCAGACGTGGATGCAGAAGCAGGCGAACATGAGTCGGCTGCAGAAGGAGAAACATTCACAAAGCCAAGCATCGCGTCCAAAGAAGAGAAAGCTGACAAAGTGCAGGAAACTGAGCTTGATCAGCTTAAGCAAACTGGGGAAAGCATCATCGCTGATCATGAGGAAATGAGTAACGACAAATCACTACAAATGTCATCCGGTGATGAGTTACAGCAGCATGAAAAAGAAAATGTTGAAACGGCGATTGCTGGTCCCGATGCTTCTGCTGATATTGATCTAAGAACATCGGATTCCGAATTGGATCAGAACGAAGCAGCTGCCAAAGTCAAAATTAAAGCACCTAAAGACGCTAAAGACACGGGTGATATGTCAGCAGAGATGACATTGGAAGAGAGCCAGAGCGCCGAGGAATCAGCAGAATATAACGTCAAAGGAGACGCGATAGAAATGCAACAAGATGACGGAGAAGCAACAGCCACCGTCGCTGTCAAACCAGATAGTGATGCAGCAGGGCCTGATGTGGGTGTTACAGACGTTGAGTCTCAGACAAGAGAAGATTCTGATGGACGGAAGAAATCAGATAAGATAACTCGGGATGATGAGAGTCAAGTAGATTTCTGGGCTCAATTGGATCAGAAGACTGATGATGACCAGGAAAGCGAAGAGCCTGCTCGTATTGATATAGTAATGCCAGATTCTAAAGATCAAAACGAGGCAGCTGCAAAAATCAAAATTAAATCACCGACAGACGCCAAAGATAAGGGTGACATGTCAGCAGAGATGACCTTAGAAGAGAGCCAAAAAGCCCAACAACCAGCAGAATATAACGTGCAAGGAGACGCGATAGAAATACAAGATGACGAAGAAGCCACAGCCACTGTCGCTGTCAAACTAGATAGTGATGCTGCGGAACCCGATGTGGCTGTTACAGACGTTGAGTTTCAGACGAAGGAAGATTCTGATGGACGGAAGAAATCAGATCAGGCAACTCAAGATGACGAGAGTCAAGTGGATTTCTGGGCTCAATTAGATCGAAAGACTGATGATGACCAGGGAAGCGAAGAGCCTGCTCGTATTGATGTGACACTACCAGATTCTGAAACAGATGAAAACGAGGCAGCTGCCAAAATAAAAATCAAATCGCCTAAGGAAACCAAAGAGAAAGGTGATATGTCCGCAGAGATGACCTTAGAAGAGAGTCAGAGTGCTCAGGAATCAGCAGAATATAATGTCCAAGGAGACTCGATTGAGATGCAACGCCAAGATGACGAAGAAGCCACAGCCACCGTTGATGGCAAACCAGAAAGTACCGTTGCAAAAACTGAAGAGGCCCTTACGGACGTCGAGTCTCAGACGAGAGAAGATTCTGATGGACGGAAGAAATCAGATAAGGTAACTCAAGGTGATGAGAGTCAAATAGATTTTTTGGCTCAATTGGATCAGAAGAGCGATGATGGTCAAGGAATCGAAGGGCCTGATCGTGTTGATATAACACTACCAGATTCTGAAACAGATGAAAACGAGGTAGCTGCCAAAATAAAAATCAAATCGCCTAAAGACACGAAGGAGAAAGGTGATATGTCAGCAGAGATGACGTTGGAAGAGAGCCAGAGTGCCCAGGAATCAGCAGAATATAACGTCCAAGGAGACGCGATCGAAATGCAGTGTCAAGATGACGAAGAAGCAGTAGCCACCGTCGCTGTCAAACCAGATAGTGATGCTGCGGAACCCGATGCGGGTATTACAGACGTCGAGTCTCAGACAAGAGAAGCTTCCGATGCACTGAAGGATCAGGTAACTCAGGATGATGAGAGTCAGGTGGATTTCTGGGCTCAATTAGACACCAAGAATGACGAGAGGGATATCGATAGGCTTGTTGATGAGAAAGATGCTGCCGAGACAGAGGCCGCAGTGATTGTCGAAACTACTGAAAAACAGACCGTGCCATCAGATGTGTCTTCACCGCACGAGAAACTTTCCAGTGACAAGGACCAGGAGGAGGAAAAAGCCGACAGGATTGGGGGAGGTGTAGCCCAAGAAGCCTCAGCCGGTCATCAAGATACTCCTGAACAGCTCGACACACAGACTGACAAACCTAGCAAACCGTCATCAAAGAAATCGAAAAAGCAAAAGAAAGCCTTATCCACGGACGAGGAGAATGTTGCTCAAGAAAAGGATGGGGTGAAAACGGAGTTAGCCAATGTTCCAGAGTCCGGTGAAAAGCAGAAGCCACATGAGGCAGCACTGATGGAACCTCAGGAGAAAGAAGACGATGCAGCTTCATTCAACAGCGTCAAGTTAGGAGATGAAGCGAGACTTCAGAAAGAAAAGGAAGATGAACTGCATGGTGAAGGGGATGCTTCTAAAGAAGCTGCTCATCCTGCCGATGAAGATAACGCTGTTGATTTTTGGTCGCAATTGGCACAGGAAAAGGACTCTTTGGCATCTGCTCTCAAACCAGACGAAAAAGCTGGCATGGAGGAAAGCTCTAAGGCCCAAACCCTTCCAGCTCAAAAAGATCAAGAATCGGACGAAGTTGTCCCATCTAAGGGTGATAATAGTAGTCCAGTTGATATAAAGGACATCGAAAACAACCAGGCAACAACGGACACGAAGGAAGAAGCTCCAGATGAAAAACCGGAAAGAAAAGCAGAAGTAAAGAAACCAAAGAGAAAGAAATCAAAACAAAAAATAATTGAAAGTGAGGCTGAGAAGCCTACCGTCGCTGAGGAGCAAAAAGAAAGTCCTCTCATTGCCGATTCTCAAACTAAAGACGGCACGGGCGAGGATTTCTGGGCGCAACTTGCACCGGAAACAGAGGACACCCTTGAAAAACCACAAAACATAGAATCGGATGATTCGAAAGACAAAGCTAAAACACCGTCATCGGATGACACAAAACCTGAGCATCTGGACGACAGTCAACTGCCACTGCCTGATAAAGAGCACGATGCTGCTACCACGCAAGCTACAGAGAGTGACGATGCGCAGTCGAAGTTGCTGGAAGATGCATCCGTTGGTGACAGCAAATCCGACAAATTAAAGAAGGAAGACATACCATCCATAGATGAAGTAAAAGAGGAGTCTGTACCAGAAAAACCGGATGCATTGATTGAAGGCACCAGCGATATCAAAAACCAAATAAACGAAGTAGAAAATGATGCTGTTACAGCTGTAAAAATGTCTGGTGATCAAAAAGAGGACGAAGGCTTCGGGTCAAAGATCAAGGACGAATCAGAAGAAACCCCTGAAGTAAATAACAAAGAAGAAAGGAAAATAGATAAACCGATTGAACGTGCATTAGTGGAAGATCAGAGGCACCAAGCCGAGACAGATGACGGAGACAGAAAAGAGAAGGATACAAAGGACAAGAAAAAGAAAGCAAGGAAAGGTTCAATAAAAGATAAGGTAGCTGAGGGACAGAAGCAAGAAGTCGAAAAAGGTGATGTACTCCAAAAAGGAGAGCAGACACAAGCTAAGGAAGACGAAGGTACCGACTTCTGGGCGCAGCTTGCTGATGACAAAGACACTACTGAGCCCCAAGCAGAAGAACGTCTTCAGGCTAGTGAAAAGGATGTACAAGCCACCGAAGATCAGCTTCAGAAAGACGACCAAACTAAGGGCCCCGAAGTTTTAGAGGACATTCAAGGGGCTAAGACGCAAACAAATGACGGGATTCCAGACGTTGGTAAGAGTGCTGAACAAGCTGAGGGCGGTGACACGCCGAAGGATAGTGTTGCTGACTCAAGCAAGCCAAAAGCAGATGCTGACGACAAAGTGAAACCAAAAGAGAAGAAGAAGCGGAAGAAAAAGGAAACTAAGGCAGATTTGGAAAAGAAACCAGATACAGACAAGAAGACCAAAGAGACAGATCAGGATGTAAGTCCTGTTAGCGAGGCTCTAAACGCTGATGGGACCAAAAACACGGATCTTATAAAACGGTCTGTTGAAGAAACGCTTGATGCTTCTCAAGACATTAAGGCTAATGAGGCTGATGTTTCTAACGGCGAGAGCAAAAAGCTTCATCAAGCCGAAGAATCGAATATTCAAGATGCAGCTCAGGAAACGGAGGCGAAGCTCGAGCTTGATGAGCTGAACAAGGTTAGCGAAGCCACCAAAACGCCTGGTAAGGATTCCACTGCCTCTCAGTCGAAGAAAGTCGACGAGTCTGATGCCACTACTGAACAGAAAGAAGAAGGAGACGCCAAACCAGATACAGATGTGAAGGATGTCAAGTCAACGGATGATACTGAAGGTAAGCCGGATAGCTCAACAACAAAAGACAAAAAGAATCCGAAAGCTACTGACAAAAAGAAACCGAAAACCACTGGCAAAAAGAAAGCTGAGGACAATGAATCCAAAGAACGCTTGAAGGACGAACCACCAAAAGATGACTCAATGAAGAAGGTAACACAAGAGACGTCAGAGAGTAAGGCGGCTGACAAGAATGCCGAATGTGAAAAAGTAGACTTCTGGTCACAGCTTAATCAGAATGCAGAAGAAAAGCCTAATGTATCTGGAGACACGAAAACGAACGAGAATGAGCCAGGAGAGTTGAAAGAGGATAAATTAGTTGTCCAAGCTAAAGATGGTGAGCTCCAGCACTCAAAGAGCGAAACTAGCGACGGTGATGAGACGGAAACCACTGCACCAGCAAAGACTAAAAAGGTCGAGTTTTCCGGGGGAAAAGATCATGAACAGGTGGAAGAGAAGCTAGAAGACCAAGCTGATCGGCCAGCTCTGCAGAAGAAGGTGTCTTTTAATCTAGACGATTCCAACGCAGATGAATCCGATGTCGTTCAGGACAAGGGTCACGAGCAGTCAGATTTGACGGAGGACACTGCCGAACACAAACTGAAGTCTCCTCCTCCGTCTCCCGTGCCTGGATTGCTCGAACCACAGGAAACCCTGGCACTCATTGCGGATTTAGGAGAGATGAAAGCAGGTACAGCATTGCTGAAGCTTGGTGACGAAGAAGAGCAGCATTTGAGCGTGTCTTCGATCGATGAGGGCCAACACGCGGAAAAAGGTGATGCTGATATAGCCAGCGACAGCGCGGAGGAAGTCGAATGGGACGACGACGCAACATTGGCTTCAAACAAAAAAGCTCGGACTAAAGAAATGCAGATAACTGATGATGATTTGACAGCTAAAAAGAACGAAAGTATGCCCGAAGACAGAGCTACAACAGATGATGTACAACCTGAGAAATCCAAGGCTGCTGATGGCGATGCCGATAAAGTCAAAGGAAAACGCGAACATCCGCCTGAAAATAAACCTGAGGTTTCCGCACCAAATGTGGAACATGAGGGGGTTGAGGAAGAAAAGGGCATTGAAACAAAAACAGAGGAAGAGAAAGACGTCTCCAAGCTATCAAGAAAATCAGAAGCATCAAAAGATGATTTCGAGCCTATCGCTAAGGACGTCAAGGACAAAGTCCTAGAGAAAGGGGTTCTTGATACAGAACCTGAGGGGCCTTTACAGAAACAGCAACCTAAGGAACAGGGTGAAGATGCACGAGAAGATCAACCGAAGGAAATTGATAAACTCGATGCAAAGCAGCGAAAGACCGAAGAGCTCCAAGAGAAACATGCGCCTCAAAAGAACATTGAAGACTCGCCCCGGCCTAAAGAAGAATCCGACAAAGAGGACAAAACTAAACCTGAAAAGCGAGTACGCAAACGCTCGTCCTTAAAGCCTGATGAGGCTTCAAATGAACAAAAAGAGTTGCCTGAAAATTCCGAGATGAAACCTGAAAAACGCTTAAGACGTCGTCGTTCTCAGAAAGCCGACGAAGATGTCACCGATAGCCAAACAAAGACCGAACATGCAGACAAGCGGGCGAAAGCTGATGAAAGTGTTCGCTCGTTCGAAAAATCCAGCGAGGACATTGCTAAAGAAAAAGAAGAGGGCGACCGTCACCCAAGCGATGTGAGCGATGAAAAGACGTCTCCACAGAGTACATCGAAAGGACGTGACAAAGATGCGGTTGAGAAACCAGACATTCCTGAAGAAGCTGAGAGAAAGGAGGTGCCAGAATCTAAGGAATTATCTATATCTAAGGTGCCTGAAGATAGTAAAGTAGAATCGCCCGCGGAATCCGACAAATTAGACGAAAGTAAACCTGAAAAGCGTGTACGTAAGCGACCGTCCCTAAAATCTGACGAAGCTGTGACTGAGGAACCTGGAGAGACGTCTACAAAACCAGACGAACACAAGCCTGAAAAACGCCTACGACGACGTCGGTCCCAGAAATCAGATGGTGTCGCAAAAGATCAAAAGGAAATAACAGGTGAGGCGGAGAAGTCACCGAAGGCAGATGAAGAGCTAAAGACTCAGAGACCAGCCGAGAACGCCGCAGGCAAACAGGATAGTCCGAGCCGTCTTGACGGTGATGCAGATGTTACAGATTCCTCGAAAAGGCGTCCATCGAAAGGAGAGGGCAAAGACGTGCCTGAAAAGCAGCCTGAGAGTCTGGATAAATCTGACCAAAAGGAACATGCAAAGACAAAAACAAAGCCGGATGAAAGTGCATTGGAAGAAGGAGCTGACACACCTGACGACAGCAAGCCAGAAAAGCCTGTGCGCAAGCGTCCGTCCTTGAAGTCTGATGGAGCTATAGCAGACGAACAGAAGGCAATACCAGACGAAAAGAAACCCGAAAAACGTCTGCGACGTCGCCGTTCACAAAAATATGTTGAAGACGCCACAAACGATAAGAGGGAAACTACTGAAAAGACAGAAAATGTACCACAGCTAGATGGTGAACGCCAATCTCAGAAAGTTGATGAGATTGCGGAGGAAGAGAAAGAAGCAGCCGATTCCCCGGATAAACGAGTGCGCAAACGAGCCTCCAAGAGTCCGGACGATGTTGCTCAAGAGGAGAAACCAGGAGGTGACGAAAAAGAGAGTGAAGATCTTAAACCTGACATCCAACAGCAACCAGCGGAAAAGGCTGACGAATCTATTACAGAAAAAGACCAGCATACAGTGCACGATGAAGATTTAACGCCAAAAGCTTTTGAACAGGAGCAAGAGAAAAAGTCAAGGAGGCCGGACCAGGAAACAAAACAAGAGAAACAAGCACGAAGAAGCAAGCCTGAAAGTAAAGAAGAGCCATCGGTGAATGATGACGAAAAGCCAGGGGAAGACAAAGAGCGACGAGAAAAGCCACGGAGACGGCTTTCAAAGCAACGTAGCAAGGACAAAGAAGTAATTCAATCGAAACCCGATAAAGAAAAGGATGTAGACATTAGCACGCAAGAAAAGGAACATATAGGTCGTGAGGAACCACTCCCGGAAAAGGATGGACGAAGACGTTCCACTGGAGAGAAAAGGGTAAAGCCTAAAAAGGATCTCGAAATGAAAACTCAGAAAACCGCTGATGACGTATCCCAGAAACCTTCAACTAAAAGCTCAGAAAATGAAATGGCTGATAAAGCACAAGATGTTGATACACCTAACAAAGATAAAGAAGAGCCACGTGACGCAAAACCCTATCGCCCTTCTGCAAGAAAAGACAAGGCTCCAGAGAACGATCAACAACCTCATCCCACTTCTTCGCACAAAAAAGCTGGGGATGAGTTCAAGACTGGAGATAAGAAAGCATCTCCAACGAAGCTTGATGATGGTAAACTGGAAAGGAAAATACTTGATTATGACCGTCCGAGAGACCATAAATTCGATAGGCCTGGAGACCATGATGTGAATGGTCGTCCAAGTACTGATGACCGTAGAGGTCCACGACCGACGGGTGGTTTAGGGGATAGACGTCCCCTGGAAGACCGGAATCGCCTGTCGCGAGATTACGACACTCGCCCTCGTAATATTCGTCATGATGGCAAGGATCGTAGTCCCAGTGACTATGACCACGGACGTCCACGCGATTACAAAGAAAATCGACGAGGAGTGCATGATGCCCATCGCTACAAAACTCCCGATTATGACAAGCCTCACCAGCGGGATACTCAGGGTCATAGAATCCCACGACATGACAGAAGTCCTCGATCTGGAGACCATCACATCCCCGGAGTAAGAACGCCGGGTAGCAGGTCTCGCTATCCGTTGGATTATGATGTTGAGGGCCGTAGCCGTCCCCGTGATGTCAATGATCGTCAACGATATGACTATAATATTTCAAGCGTTGGGGCTCGTCATGAAGGCATGGATTACCGACCACAATACTACGACATCCAGGGCCGAAGGCCTGGTCCGCCTGGAGAGTTCGACATCCATGACTATACACTTAGACAGGATTTCGAAGGCCGTCGACCTACAAATTATGATAGCCACGTACTTCCTCGAGTACCACCCCATGATGCACTGCCACGGTATGGAGGATACCAAATTCAAGACCTGATGATTCCACGTGGTGATGACTACCGTTCGCCGGAGCGCAGGGATATTTACGGCTACAGAATGCCGCGTGGGGATGGGATACTCCACATTGATGACTATCGATCGCCGGAGCGCAGGGACATTTACGGCTACAGAATTCCGTATGGAGATAAGATATTCCACATTGACGGCTATAGGGATGGCAACGTACCCAGAGATCACGATCATAACCGTGACCGAAGTTCCCTTGACCTAGATGCCTTGGACGTGTCAAGACGACCACAAGGTCTTCTTGAAACTACTTTGAGGCACTCAGACATTCCTCCTCGCAAGCGTATGGTTGGAGACCTGCCGGAAGACTACGATGTGTATGGTTACGTGATTTTGGACTATCTGAGTGGCGACAAGGAGCCTGAGTATCACCGGATGGGATTCGACATTTACGGACGCAAGCCTTCACCGGATAGCAAGGAAGGTCTTCCGGCTGACTACGACATCAGTGACTGGAGTCCGCGACATGACGCGTCAGCACCTTCCCATCGTCGTACAGATGAGGATGTCAGCATCCGTGCGCCTTCACACGATGGCAGTCGTGGTCCAGACGCTGCATCATATGACAGTCCGGGGCATAGGATTCCACATGATAGTAAGGATCAGAAGCCCCACCGAAAGCACGTGGACTTCGACAGTCACGTCGATATATCACGTGACAGCAGGACATCCCGACCTCGTCGCAAAAGTCACGATGCTCGTCTTTACCAAACTGATGAAGGCACCCGAGAACACAAGCACCTTCCGAAAGATCGTGACAAGCGCCGTCACAGCATCCCACTAGACAGCAGAATGTATCAGCATCCCTCAGGTGACGTTGATGCCCGCGGTCGTAGAGTTCCGCACTATGATAAACGGTGGGTCCTCCGTCCCGGTGACTACTACGACATCCACGGTCACATGATACCTCGCGATGGAAAGGGATTCGATTACTATGAAGGTATCTATGACGCCTATGGGCGAAGGATTCCCAACGAAGAACTTTTCTACATTCCTGGTGGATATGACATCCACGATCGCACGCGTCTTTCTGGAAGCAAGGCACCTGGTTCGTTGACGAAAGGCTACGATATTTACGGCAGAAGAACTCCTCACGACAAAGCACACTTCCTTCCCAGCGAATATGACATCTACGGTCGAAGAATTCTAGGCCCCGGTGTTTACGCACCACTAGGCGGCATTGGCAGCTTCAGGGCTCCTAGTGACGCGCTTGTAGAAGCATCACTTCCGAGTGAGTACAGCATCTTGGGATACGTGATCGTGCCCGACGTGTCACGACGTGAAGGCCCCGAGCCAACGCTTGTGCGCTACGACCTCTTCGGCTACCGTCTACCGGAGATTGGCCGAAGACCTGACCTGAGCCCTGAGGATTTCGACATCTGTGGTCACGCGCTGCTGCACGAGCGTTCCGAGGCGGACTCGGGAGAATACCGCCCGGTGGATTATGCCGTGTTCGGTCGGCGCGCTCTGCCCGGGTGGCAGCCCCCACCGGTGGACAGTAGTCTCCTGGGACACATCACTCTGCGGGACTGGGACTCTGAGGGCGGGGGACACACTCCGTTCACGCTGTACGGTCAGCGGACCCTGCAGGATGTTCTGATTGACCGTGGCCCACGCGCCGGAGTGCACAGTCCGTGGGGTCGCCGCTCCAGCCCACCGCCCGGCCTGCGGCGGCTCCGGCTGGCCGACCTGGACACCGAGAGGGGCTTCGGCGGTCCGGGACGGCGGGTGTTGACAACGCGCTCGCGGCCTCGCACCAGGAGGGAAATCGTCGCCCAGTTGTCTGTGCCGCCGTGGACCACGATCTGGCCGGGCCGGCCGCTGCCGGAGGTCCGCTCCGAGGGGGATCTAGGTGAGGGGTTACAGTGCTGGTCTTCTCTTCCGCTCCTATCAGTGTGTCTGAGATCTACGCTCCGAACGACTCTGAGCTCAGATCGCACCGCTTTACAGTCGAGGCTCTGTCACGACTTCACTTCAGGCTCGCTCATTGCGGCCTCGCTGATGCTGACTTTACAATGTACTCTTGCCGCTGACTTATATGGCTTTTGGAAATCGCTGCTATTTTTTACGTTTTTCTGCTCTAAGATTACAGCATTGTTTATATTTGCGGGATGACATAGGTCTCGATAATGTAACATGAAAACTACTACTTGCATATTAGATATGAATAAGTCTTTAAGGGCTATTTTCAACCATAGCCGTACTTGGTTTAAGTGTGTATTTCTTTATGCTTTCATGCGTTGTACAAATGAAATGGTGTATTTCGTCATCTTCCTTTTATTCCTGTACTTCACTTCCCTGGCATGCATCTGTGCTTATTTTACTAACCTGCTTTGTGTCGATTTTGCTAATAACTGTGCTTGACTCCATACGTATACAGCGCTTTGCCTTTTATGGTACTCTGACCTGTGCTTATGTCCATGGTTTTACGTCGCGAGGAGTCGTCATTGCTTTGTACGAAGCACAGCTTACGCCGTAACTCAGTGTTGTCTTTGAACTGAATTGTATTTTTGTATTCTTCTTCAGGGAGATATGTATTATGCGTTCATTATTGTCACCAACATCGGACAAAATAGAACAGGAAATAGATGCAGATTGTCAAATGGTTTGGAACATACGTTTTTGACAGGTAAAATATGAAGCAAAATAATTTATCACGGCTGCTTCTTTGTTGATATGCCGTGAAATAGTCATACAAAAAAAAACTGGTAAAATATCTGAATTACGTGCTTATAGATCTTTCGTACGGTCTTACGGTAGGCTTCCTGTGATAATGCTTCTTGGGAATTGGACTTACTTGCAGACTCGACGCAACTATCGCATTTATAGACACAATCTTTCAACGTTTTCTTCAACGTTTTCAGCGCTGCCGCAGATCCTCACCAAGTTCACTGATCTCATCTGCTACATCAACGAGAACAAGATCCTGGTCATCGAGGGCTATGGCAACCCTATTCCGGATCCGCACTGGTAAGTCTGTTCAAAATGTAAGATCGCCACAGCCTAACTACTTTCAAGTTTCGTCTGATGAGCATTGAGCAAATACTCAAGCTACTCACAATGACGATGACCAGTAGCTCAGACTTCCACAAAAAAAGCTCAGACTTCCACACCAATCATTGTTCGAACAAATGTGTTTTAGCTTCTTTAAGCGTCTTGATTTTGCTCCCACTGACGAATCCGATCCCCCGTCCCGCAGGTTTATGGACGGGAACGAGATCCACTCGTCCGAAAACTACGTCATCCAGCAGGACAAGCACAAGTACCGGCTGATCATCCCGCGAGTCAAGTATGAGGACGCTGGCTCCTACAAACTCACGCTCAAAAACCGCATGGGAGAGGTCACCGAACAGTGCAAGCTCATCGTCAAGCGTAAGTGATAGGGAGAATTTACATGGTACACCATCTGCTCTACTAAGAACTCTTCACTCACTTAGGCAGCCAAAATGACGTTGATCTCAATCGAAGCCCTTAATGAGATTATGGGAAACTTGACACTTCGGCCCAGAAGCACATTACTTTAATCACTTCTGCTGAACTGACGCTTCTCATCACTCACATCTTTTTTCAGCACTGAGCGATCTGAAAGAGCCTCACTTCTTCACCCATCTGGTGGACAACGTCAAAATGAAGGGCGAAGAGACGGTGATGAGTGTGGAGATCCGCGGCATCCCACAGCCGGACGTCAAATGGTGAGTCACTTCATAATACCCATAAACTCAGTCAAAATTGCGATATGCAGAATGGTTTTTGAGTCCATCTTATTATCAAGCAAATGATCAGGAAGTAATATGCAAGTAACATACTTTAATGAACGTTCTATATAGCAGCAATGTCCAAAGTCCGTTAACCCGCGAGTTGCTGGGGGGGGGGGCGTTAAACGCCCCCACTTTTTTCGCCGGGCCATAGCATAAAAACGGCGCGCCGCAGGCGCGCCAAATTTTGGGTAGGGGAGAGTGGGGCAAAGCGGCCACCCTAACGCTTCTCACGATGCCAACGCTTGATTTTTAAACTTGGAAAGATTCTTTCTATACCAATGTGATCCCTATTAAGTTGCCTTTTGTTTCAACTGCGTTTTATTTCCAAAGGCGTTCATATATGAAAGACATTGACAAAACTTTAAACCTATGCATATTGGCCACTTTGCCCCATACCCTGGGGCAAAGCGGCCACCGGCGTCTTCTCAAGTCCCGATATGAGAAACAAAATAGTTGCCTTGTGTACGACTAGGGTATTTGATGGTGACAAGGTTAAGCGAGGATGGATGTTTACTTTATCATCTTCCACCTCTAGGTAAACAAATAAAGGATTTTCATGAAAATAAACATTTAATTATATTATTTGGTAACTCATGCAACTGAAAAGTAGCCAAGATGAATGCATGACGACACATTTGAATATAAATAATGTTTTTTATCCAGATGGAAGCAACTTATGGCCAATTGGGGGGTGGCCACTTTGCCCCGGCCACTTTGCCCCGCGCATACCGTCCGAGACAAAAATATTCCAGCTTAGCTATTAGTGGGGTAAAAAACATTAAACTTGGTAGAATACATGTACGATAACCATGCAATGCATGGACAAGAACGCTTATAAAAATTCCAAACGGTTATGGAATAACATAACATTTAAAAATTGTAAACATAGTTGGTAACCTGGCAAGAAATGCTTTTCCGTGTTTCACAGAACAATGGTGATGGGCCTGAAACCCCGGTCTGGCTCATTCGAACGACCGTGAAGAGAAGTATAATTGGAAACCATAAATTGGAACTGACGCCAGCTATGAAGGGCTAAAACGATGGGTGGCCGCTTTGCCCCGGGTGGCCGCTTTGCCCCACTCTCCCCTACCTGTAGGGAATTGATTGAAGGTTATTGTGACAAAGTTTCAAAAAAATCGGTCGGAAAATTTTTGAGATATCGAGGTTTTAGTGACGTCATGATTTCTGAGTTTTCGACCAAAAACGGCATATGTTCAAAAAATCATATAAAATCACAGAATAGACATGCAGACATGCCGTTAACGCCATTAGACTGCCAATACCATGAACAATCAAATGGCTATCTTCGATTATTGATTATCGTTCTGAATTTTTCAAAATCTTGAACTGAATCTTGGCAATTTCTCGTGACTACTTCACGACCATGATACATGCATTTCTTAAATTGAGCTTTTTGAGCCAAACACGTACACATATGATAAAATGAATGTCACCATCGTGTTCTACGCCCCAAATTACCCATAAAACATGTGTCACAGGCTGCGAATATCAGTTTCGATTTTCGGGGATATGTGCTTACCCGGTTGACCTGACCTTGACCCTGACCTATGCTTGACTGACCCCTACATGGAGCTGACACTCTTGTAGGCCTTATATGATGGATTGAGCACCAATTTGACAGAGTTTATGACGAGAGGCGCCCATTGCGAAGTCCTGAAGTCCATGCTACTGAAAGCCCGATTTCAGGTGTTTGACCTGACCTTGACCTGACCTGTGACCTCAAAATTCAATTTTAAAGTACTCATCTGAAGCGTCTCGTCGCGTTCTTTCGTTTGCCGCCTCGTGCGTTTCGCTGCGCCTATCGGTTCTCGAGTTATCGGCTGGGGGCGTTTAACGCCCCCCCCCCCCCAGCAAACGGTGGGTGGCGGAATACCCCAGCAACTGCCGAGTTAAAAGAGTCGATCGTCTGACGTTGAGAATATGAAGCAGTGATAAACTCCTATATCGGAAATATTGCTCTCTGCTAGTTCTGCAGTCATTTGTTGTCCCGCAGACTGTGCACTATGGCGATGGACTCGCCGTATTGCCTCCTCAACCCACGCTCTCCACAGGTACAAGGACGGCGTGGAGCTGGCTCCCGACGTCAACATCATGATGACCCGTGACGTGGACACGTGCGTGTACACGCTGAAGATCCGTAACACCGGGGATGAGGACATGGGAGACTACGCGTGTGTCGCCACCAACGAGCACGGAGAGATGCGAGAGGAGGTAGGTGCTAACGAGCTGCTCGAGCCATGTGGAAATGGAGGTCTGTTCCAACGATGCACTGTTTGGAAGTAGAATGAAAGCCCAGCTGTTAGTAATTGTTAGTGAATTTATCTTGTTAAGCCCACGATTGGCTTTGATACATGAAGCTTTGTGATCGACAATAGCCGCCATTGTCGATGGCGGCCATTGGTACGTCATTGTACGCCAAATGGTACGGCAATGAATGGCGTACGTTCATCCACCATACAATTCTTCCAATCGGTAGCTAGCCACGTCCGTGCAGATGGACATCTGTGACGCTGAGTCTGTCTCTCCACCCAGTGTCGCCTGGAGGTGCTGTTCAAGCCGGAGATCGCCGGTCTGCGGGAGGTGGCCGTCATTCCCGGAGAGAGCGCCCGGTTCCACGCCACCGTCAAGGCCAACCCCAAGTGCCGACTGAAATGGTGAGTCCGAATATCGCGTCACAGTTTAGCTGTTTCATTGAGAACGTTTAGTGATTTATTTCTGCATCAGTTCAGTCGTAATGCAACTGAACTACATCCATCCTATAGACGATGTTGTAGTCCAATAAAACGAGTTTGGAGTAAACAACCAGAAAGGATAAAGTGAATAGGTCAATGGAGAATGTTGCATCGGCTTTTGTTTTTTATTCCAGAAGGGCATTCCGAAAATTCAAGTCACCAACACCATTCCCTGCCCGTTTTCAGGCAGCACGACGGCATGGACCTGCGCTCCACGGAGAACCTCATCATTGAGACCAACGCTGAGAACACAGAGACTAGCCTGCGTATCCAGACTGTGGGGATGCGCGACGGCGGGGTGTACAGCGTGGTGGCCGAGAACGCGCACGGCGAGACCACCTCCAACGGAGTGCTCCTGCTCAGGAGTGAGTCGGGACGGTGGATGGTGATGGGGCGGGATGGGGAACTGAGAGCGTAGGGGCTGGCGACAGGAGGCATTGTATGAAAGAATCAAACGTTCAATGACAAGAGAAGACGTGCTAGTCATAAAACGATAGCAGTGTTAACCCGTATGGGAACTGGGAAGCAAAATGAAATAAAGCATAAGAAGCTAAGCTCAAATAAGTTATTTACTTCAAGTTCATTTGCCTCGTTTTCTTCGACATTCGATCGACATTTGAGTGATTGAGATACCAATCAACGCCTTCGAATGACTGAATGACCCTTCTCGCCCCCTCCCCCTCAGCGGCGATCCCTGCATTCAAGAAGCGTCTGCTGAACACTGGCGCCCGTCTGGGTCAGAAGCTGCTGCTGGAAGCGGTGGTGGCCGGACTGCCCGTGCCGGACGTCCAGTGGTTCAAGGACGGGAAGCCGCTGGAGGTGGAGCGGGTGGACGAGCAGACGTTCCGACACCAGGTGGAGGCCACTACCTCACCAGACTACGGAGAGGTGAGATATGGACGGATGAACAATGGAAGGGCACTATTATCCATCAACGGTTGGTTTGTAGTGGAAGGGAACGCTAAAAGAAAACCCTTTTTTATACATGGTGTGACTGGACTCCCCGGTGCAACCTACATTCGATCTACCTCAGCGTCGGAGAGCTTCGACACAATTTATGTGGACCCTCAGTTAATTTTGTCGAAACTTATCCATCAGCTTTATCAACCTCCACAGGAATAAGTACATACCTACGACAAAACATCACCCAAGGTCACATCTGACACAACCACAGCCAAGTCTCGCTGTGGATTGACGACCCTCCCTTGTGTTTACACCGCAGTACCGGGTGGTGGCGATGAACTGCGTGGGCACCACGGAGAGCAGCTGCACCGTCACCGAGGAGGTCCTGCCGCCCGTCATCGACGCGCGCCTGCCGACCTTCTCCAAGAAGGAGGAGGGAGACACGCTGGTGCTGGAGGCCAAGGTGGATGGCAGTCCGCCGCCGGAGATCACCTGGTGAGAGCGAGGACAGGAAGAAAGGGGCAGATATTCGATGGGAGACTAGTAAGTCAGGGCTTGAATAGTTAGTATAAAAAGTAGCTGAGAAATAACAGGTGATGAATTGAAGTTGGAATATAGGGACAAGATTGGCAGAGTTAGGAGAATTTCAATGAAAAAGATCAGCAAAGTAGCAGAAAATCGATGAACAGATCACTAAGCGATGTTTACGCCAGGACAAAAGTACTCTCTAGCAAGGATCCAATAATGGTGCGAGGAGTTTTTCGAACATAAAATGCAAGGACATAGAAAAGTACGGAGTCAGAACCTCATCATTCATCTTTCTTGCATCGTCACACTTCCGGATCCTAATGCCTTCCACCTCCCTCTGCCAACAGGATGAAGGACGGCGAGCCTCTGGAGCTGTCGGACCGGGTCAAGATCGAACAGCTGGACGACGGCACCGTACGTCTGACGGTCACCGACCTTCGGCCAGAGGACGCCGGACGCTACCGCATGAAGGCCTCCAACGGCAACGGCGACGCCTGCACGGAGTCGGCCGTCACCGTCGACCGTGAGTAGGACGGCGGGGAAAGAAGAGAGGTGGGGGGAGGTGAATGAATGGGGAGGAATGGGATCGTGAGTCAGGACGTATGGACTATGAAGTGGTACCGTGAGTGAGCAACAAGGTCGAAATGTTGATAAGTAGTTGGGCTAGTGCGGAATAACATTCGATGACCCAGCATGATTATTGGTACCATTTTGATAACACTTAGACACAAATGTCATTTTATTCTGATATATTGCTAACGACTTCTTAACCCGCGCCCTGCTGGGGGTCCTGGATTTCCACGCCCTGCTGGGGGGGGGGGGTTTTGAACACCCCCCCCCTTCTAACTCGGCTCCTGGGCCACGTAGCGATACGCGGAAGGCGGCGTTCGAAAGAGCGTCAAAAATAATGAGGAAATCATTTCGGTCAAGTTTTTGGTCAGGTCAAAGGTCAGGTCACCAGAGGTCATTGAAGGCAAAATTTCGCCGATTTCCAGGTCGAATGTAGACAATTTCCAAGAAGCCAACGCATAACTCTGGAACCAACAGAGCTACAGCGCCGCGGAAAAGCGCATTCGATAGCCCTATTAACGCCCTTTCTGAGTAATTTTCTCAGATTTGACCTAACGTCAACGGTTTTGCCTGCAGGGGGCAAAAACTGGAAAAATAGCCGATTTTTTTCGGAAACAGTTTTTCTGCAATAACTTTTGACCCAAGCCTTGTACGAGCTTACTTTTACCGGCATCGTGTTCCTCTCGTCAAGACGCATCGAATGAACTATAGCTTGACCTTGAAAGGTCAACTTGAAAATTTGACCTCAGGTCAAGGTCATGACCTGACCGGAAAGGGTCATGTTGCATATCAGTCGATCCGTATCGTCGACCTGAACACATCTAAGGCGTTTTCATTGCTCTAGCATGCCTCTATCAAAAGTTATTTGCGAAAAACTGTTAGATACCATTCGTGACCTAAGATGACCTCAGGGCATAAACAGGGGTCACGGACACAATTTTCATGTTCAGTGTGTCTAACCCACTTGTAATTCAGTGTTTGGGAGTGCTTATAATGTCTTACGTCCAAAAGAGGCGCATTTCAATTTTCTCCCATTGACTTATATGTAGGTAATGGGGAGGTCGCAAAATTGACCTGACCTTAGGTCATCGATATCAAAATTCTGAGATAAACATTTTGTACATGCTATTGCTCTTAGCAATCGCTGAAAGTTTCAAAGCGATCGGTCACTCGGTGTAGCTATGACAGACATTGAAACTTTTAATGAGGTGAGGTCACTTCAAGTGACCTGGTGACCTGACCTTGAATGACCTTGGTCTGAAATTTTCACAACATGTGTAGAATTGATGTATAATAAGGTGTACCAAAACGGCGGCGCTCCGCGCCGCCGTTTTTGAGATATTCGCGAAAAACCACAAGGGGGGTGTTCAAACACCCCCCCCCCAGCAGGGCGCGGGTTAAGAGTAGTTTCACATGACCGTGACGCCTCTTTTACGCCCAATGATTGAATATCGGGGGATAGTGTCAACGTACTGAAGTTTGCTCCGTCAACATTGACAGGCTGCTTCATACTTCCCAAGGGCAGTTTCTCACTCAATTTCTCGTCATTTTTTTCAGGTGTGCCTCGTAAGCCGTCCTTTGACCAGACGCTGGGTGACGTCACCGTCACCGAGGGAAAGCCACTCAAACTGGAGGCCAGGGTGCTCGGATACCCGCGGCCCGTGCTCAAATGGTGCGTATACCGGCGGCAGTGGAGAACGAAACTGCTAAGATAGAGACGGTCAGTTGTAATGAGCGGGTAGTGATAAATTATGGGCGATAAATGCTCTCATGGGTGAGCGGGAAAGCTGCCAAAAGATGTCAAGGACGCTTCGATAAGACGTTGTTTCTCCAGTGATAGCTGAATGGGTTATAAAGTCAGCTAGCAATAAATAAGTTTCAGGGCACGGCAAATATTAAAGCGTACGACTTGACTTCAGCACGCCCATGTGTAAAGCATAAACCTGACCTCTATACCTCACTCTTGACATACGCCAAAGAACAGCCGTCCTCCGACCGACTCTGACACTCAACCCCCCCCCCCCCGCCTCTCGCGCGCCAGGCTGAAGAACGGCCGCCCGCTGCACGGCACGGAGCACATTTCCATCACGACCACACCGCAGGGCACCACGCTGGTGGAGATTGAGGGCGCCACGCCGGAGGACGCCGGCACCTACTCCGTGATGGCGGTCAACGATCTCGGAGATGCTACAGTCGAGGCTGACGTGACGGTTGAACGTGAGTGGAACGGGATGGTGGTGTGGAGAGGGAGATGGAGGGAGGGAGGGAGGGAGGTAGGGAAGGAGAGAGAGAGAGAGAGAGAGAGAGAGAGAGAGAGAGAGAGAGAGAGAGAGAGTCGGTGAGTGACCGTCTAGGAGGTGAGTGAATAATCCACAGAATTGGTGTTAAATAAAGCAGTGTGGGTAAGTACTGTAGCTAGAAGTGGTTTGTTGCTGTCTGTCGATCTTTCACAGGTGTTTCACGCGTGCAGCCATGTTCTCAAACTATCCAGCTTATTTCTCTCCACTTCATGTCTGTCTCGTGTTCTTTGCGGTTTCTATCTAATGCTTTAGCTTGCCGTTGCGGTTTCTTTCTTACGATCTTCTGGCTGGTGGTAGCTAATCGTTTCTGCTGTACATATGCAATTAGTCTTCATCATGATTGGTATCAGTGTTGGAAGATGTTACAGAACGCTTTGTAGGTAATGTGTGCGATTGGAGCAAACATACATATGTTTCTGTCAGACTTTCACTGTTGTTAACCAAGTGTTCTAATCAATGTGTTCAATGTTCGTCCATTGTTAATCCGTGTACTCGTAGCTAATCGTATGTAGTAGATGTTACGTGCTTAGTGTACGCATGAGAGCTCCGAAATGAACCAACAAGCTCGTTTATACTGAGTGTTGCATGTTGATTATCCTTGCAGAAATATGGAGCCCGACGTGCAAAGTTACTTTCGGTAAGTTTTGTCAGTCTGTACAAAGACGAAGAAGTACGTATGTACTTACGGAATCACTTCAGTCGTTTACTGAAAGCGCTCTAGCTGATCTTAGCAGACCACTTCTTCGTTTTTTCCTATCTTTCATTTTCCCTTATAGCTGAATGACAAACATCAACCTTATGGACATAACATATTTTTCAATTTCAGGCGCAACGAATATGTCAACTTTTTTGTACCCATGCAGCTTGCTGGGCACATACGCAGTAAAAATACAGAACATGCTCTTTTTTACTGAAGTCGCTAAACTGTACATTTTACTTCCTTGGCACGATTTTTGTGTTATTGACCGCATTACAAACTGTGGTTTGGACTGGCCGTTATACTGCGACGGTACATTTTGATGTTTAAAATATACAAGAAATAATCAATTATCAGTCTTAACCTGGTATTCTGCACAAATAAAACCATGTTTGGCATGGAATTTAATTAGCCCGCAGCAATAACACCTGCAATCGAGTCTCCTCATGTTCGTGTTGATGTTGATGACGATTTTAACGTAATAGAGCCATATGCTGATATTTCGCCATTGACTTCCTTAAGTAGGTACCTACCCCGTGCAGCTTATAACGACATCAGTATAACGCCTATTCTCCCCGCCCCTTGTCTTCCAGCGCCGCACCGTAAGCCGCTGATGCAGGACGCCTTCCGACCGGTGCGCGCCGTCGAGGGGTGCCCGGCGCGGATCGAGGGCCGCGTGTCGGGTCACCCTCCGCCCACCGTCACCTGGTACAAGGACGGCAAACCGCTGGATGCCAACGACCGCGGCAAGCCGTACCTGCTGCCTGACGGTACCTTCGGGCTGGCGTTCGACCGCTGCCTGCCGGAGGACTCGGGCGCGTACACGGCCAAAATCTCCAACTCGGAGGGCGACGCAGAGGCGGCCGCCAAGATGGAGGTCATCGGTGAGAACTGGGGTCGGGGTTTTTGGGATAGGCAGTACAGGCATTTCGATGTTGCAGAGGCTGCACTTGGAAGTTGCTGTCTGTTCTTGCAGTATATCTTTAATTTGGTAGTCATTCGGGAGCAAAAAACTTTCCAACATGAATCAGGCTTGGTTTGGCATATCCCGGCACTAACCGTGTTTACATAGGGTTCCCTTAATCTTCCCCTATTTGTCTCTTAAATGTCCCTTATAAAGGAATCCTCTGTCTCCTTTACCTCGCTTCACTACAAATATGGCGCAACTAAGTCATTCTAGAAGCAGTTTGCAATTTTTACTTACCTTTAGGGCTCTCCCAAATAGCTTCCAGACTAGACACTGAGGTAAAAGTGATAGCACATGAAAGCTCAAAGCAAGAAAAATCAGAAAACTATCTGGCATTTAACATACTTTAAACGGCTGATCTATTATTCAAGTAGGTGTAATCACATCCACCGCAATATCAGAACACCGCACCTGTCGAATTTCTGCCTTGACTTTCTGCCGTTTATGCGTTAATGCCACTTAAAAATCCTCAGTCGGTGCACGTGCGCTTGTCGAGTCGGGGACCACCAGTCGGACGATTCGGAACTGCCGGCCAATCAGCACGCCGCTTTTGTGATTTGGTAGTTTGAGAACCACTGGATATGGTAGCGTAGCAGCTTTTGGAAAGGCGCTACGCTACCAAATCCTCCCCTATTTGTCGCTTAAAGAGGGAATTGAAGGGCAGGATAAAAATACTTCAAAATATGAATTGTTGAATTTCGAGTATTAAATAAGCCCAATTTATATTGTTTACAGCATAAACGATGCTTTGTATGCTTCTAACAACAATAGCGCCCATAGCAACGTTACACGCGATCGCTATGATGCCTAAAATTCGATCTGAAAATAGGGGAGAAATAGGGGAAGATTAAGGGAACCCTATGTAAACACGGCTACTGAGGGCGTCCTCGACGTCAGGACATCACTCAACTGTCTTTCCTTCATAGCTGAATGTATCACCTTCCTCCTCTTTCTCCAACAGGCAAGCAGCGTCCCGGCGAGCATTGCGCGCCCGCCTTCACCTCTCCACTCCGGGACACGGAGGTGGCAGAGGGCTCGACGCTCGTGCTGACTGCGGACGTCACCGGAAACCCTCTGCCAGATGTCAGCTGGACCCGCGACGGCGCCCCGCTGCCCAGCGACGAGCGCGTCTTCACCGGTTTCGACGGGGATAAGGTGCGGCTGCAGATCATACAAACTCCCTACCACGCCCTAATATGGCCTTCCTTCCCTTTTTACCTGACCCCAAACTTCGACCTTCATCCATGGTAGACATCTGTCTGCTTCATCCCGCCTTACCTAACATTTCGAACACCGCCGTCACATGACTTCGTTTGACCTCACTCTCCACCTGTCATTTTTTTTTTTACATTTTCCATCTGACATTTCTGACCCATGTCGTCTCAGTCAAGCATTCGAGCTCTGTCTCCATCTGACCTCCAACTGACCTCGATGTGACCTCTGTCGCCAGCTCACGCTCACCATCCGCCCGGCGCGTGTGAAGGACGTCGGTCGGTACCAGGTGTCGCTGAGCAATGCGCTGGGTCAGGCCGACTCGGCTGCCGACGTCAAGGTCAAGAAGACCTACCAGGCGCCGCACTTCGCGCAGAAGATCTTTGACCTCCAGCAGGTGGGCAGCATGAGAGGATCTGACTCAAACACATGGTTTGAGTCCGACCGATTGGAAACTAAACACATTTCTCGAGCCATGAGTGATTTTGAGGGAAAGGCCGTTACTCTTTGGAATAATATAGTGCACTTCCTAACTGAGGACAAGGCGCACCGACACTTTCACCATTGACAATATTCCCGTAAAAATGGGCTCGTCTTAAATGGATTTTCTCATTTCCCAACGAACTCTTCGTTTATCATCACACTCGTATCACCGGCCGTCTCCTTACTCTCAGATGCCTAAGTACGACGCCAAGTTCATGGGCCGCGTGATCGGCATCCCCCGGCCGGAGGTACAGTGGTTCTTCAACGACACCCCGATCAAACCGTCATCCAAGTACCGCATCAAGCGCGACGCGGACATGTTTGCGCTGTACGTAATCGACTGTTGCCCGGACGACGCGGGCGTCTACTCATGCGTGGCTACCAACGCTGATGGCACCAGCAAGTGTTCAGCCAATCTGGAGGTGGTCGACCATATGTGAGTTTAATTGTGGACAGCTGCTGGTATGGGGAGGGGAGGGGCGAGTGGAGGCTAGTAGCGGGGAAGAGGTGTATGGACGGGGTTGTCCTCGCTTCTGCAGTTTATTCTCTTTGATGGGTCGATTCTTGTGAGTGGGGTTAAACGATAGTGTCATTGAATATTCAACGTATTTGATGTTGACTATTATTTATAAGATGCATGTTGAATGACGACAGGAAAGTTTTGCAGAACGATTCACGACAGCTTACATGTTTTACAGTATGCTCCATTTCATGAAAACCTGCAGACCGGCTGCAGAGTCCAATGCTCCATATCCATGATTCTGACTCGTCTCCTCTGGCTTTGCGCAGCGCCCGCCGGCCGAAGCCGGAGCCTCCGTACTTCCTGAAGACAATCGGCGACTGCGAGGTGTACCCGGGCATGCAGGGCAAGTTCACGGCCTGTGTGGCCGGTTACCCGGAGCCCGACTTCGAGTGGTACCGCGACGACATGAGGATGTTCCCCAGGTGAGCCACGATGGGATAAGACGCGAGGAACTCCGTGACATAGTCGACGAGTGTGGGAACAGAGTAAAAACGACAGTGAATGTGTCGTTATTCATGTCTGTTTGTCTTTTACACATTAGAATGATCACACAGAAGAATCCCGCCCCGGCTCACGCTCACACATAAGAATGATCTTTTCAGCCATCCGGTACAGTTTGACGATCAGCTCCATTGTCGGTTTATTCACTCGTACCGCTGATCTGTCACGTCCCCGTCTAACGCATAACCGTCCTTGACCGTGCAGCGACCGTATCCTGATGGAGGCGGATGGATCCGGTTTGATCCGGCTCATCCTGAAGAATGCCGACGAGGGTGACTCTGGTCGATACAAGCTGAAGATCTTCAACACCCACGGAGAGGCGGCCTGCGAGGCAGAGCTCTCCTACGACAGTGAGTGCCCGAAAAAATGTTGGATTTGCCAAAGCTAAATGGTCAAATAAAATGCACACATGCAAACACAAGGTTGAATTACGTGATGCCTCTTATTGCTTAGTCACTGGCTGGGATTCTTCTGCCGTAAGTTGGTACAGGTCTCGCGAGATTAAGCGGTAGGTTATGCACTTTTACATTTCCGGTTATATCTCAGAAACTAATCGATCTACAATGAAGCCATTTTACACGATCATGGCCGGCTTGTTACCCAACAAGTCGGTCGCATCTTCAACACTTAAAAGCTTAAGACAACGAAGATATAGCCTGAAGTACACTAAATTTTCTAGGTGCAAAACCTACCGCTAAAGCCCGCGAGACCTGTACGTTCCGATTGATGATTATCGTCGCTGTTATGAACTATTATTTCTTTCTGCTGTCATCGAGACGAAGGCTGCTGGAGTTCGTGCGCTCTATTGACGTCAAAAATTGCACTTAAATAAAAAAGGCATTTGCATAAGCTCAATCATAGACCTCTGTATACCGTATACTGAAGTCTATGGCTCAATGCATCACCACGATAAAGCGGTTGATCTCTCCCCCGATGAGTTGATGCATTGGCGCGTGACCCCGGTACGCTGTCGCTCGATCTCGTTCTTGTTTTATTTTGCTCCATCCCGTCCGTTTGCTCTGGTTCTCGGTTTGTGTTGGCTCCCAGCACTATGCCCGTTTTTTTTCGAGCTGAGCGGTGCAGCCGATTCCGAATCCCAGCCAGATCAGTTCTATCTCGTGTCTCACTCGTGCCTGTGCCCTGTTTCACCGCCGTTTCGTCGATTCCGGCAGCGTTCGACGGCATGTCGTCGACTCGCAACCTGAAGGACCAATATGGAACGCTGGAGCAGCAGCTCAAGTCCGGCATCCCGATGCCACTCTCCGAGCGACCCATCATTTCGAGGTCAGCAACGCATGGTCACATGCCAACAGTGTAGGTGCAAGGCACACGCTATGCTTTTCAGGTAATAAAATACAGATAAGCGTGTTTTATGTTTGTCAACTACCTGTTCTGTATAAAATAGCACAAATTAATGGTGATGATTAGTGAGAATCAAAGCCCTTTATATTATGAGCTGCAGTTTATTATAATTAGTAAACATTGTTGATTTTAGCACGGCTTATTGTGAAACATGATATCCGAGTAATTTCTTTCCGACATATACAGCTTGACGCGATATCAAAGCCGGTTTGATCGAAAAACACTGACTGCACTCGCATCAGCTGACCCCCGTCATTTCTGTCCTCCAGGATGACGGACCGCCAGCTGACGCTGTCGTGGCGTCCGTCCCCCACGGCCGGACAGAGGATCCCCGTCACCTACCACGTGGAGATGGCCGAGGCACCCCGGGGTGACTGGTTCACCGTGCGATCAGGTACGACATAGCAATACCCAGCATAACCCACAGAGCTCGGCTGAGGAACTCACTCGTCTTCGGGGAGTGTCATAACGAGTTTGCATTCAAGCATAAATGATAAGTTACGTAGCGACTTTGGATTTCTATGTGAGAAATTCAACTCCGTTCAGGCAATGATCCCGTTCCGTTCCCTTCTCTGACTGTCTTGATAATCTCCGACAGGCATCCGCGGCTGTTCTGTGGAGATCCGAAACCTGGAGCCACACCGTGACTACAAATTCCGTATCAAGGTGGAGAATAAACTGGGCGTCAGCGAGCCGTCGCCGCACATTACTACACAGAGGTGAGAGGAGAGAGGGAGAGAGAAAGAGAGACGGGACGGGAGAGATTGAGGGAGGGAAGGGAGAGAAAGTACTCGTACAGTGCAGTGTGCACCTACGATCTACTAAGATATCAAGCCTGACTTGATGATTTGCAGTCATCAGATTGTAATTGCGATTGTTACGACGTAAATAGTTTCGTTAATTGTTGCTGTCGACGTTACCGAAATTCAAGACCACGAGGAGACCATCCATCCTACTGAATCACAAACCGCCATGTTCCGCCTCCAGGGAGCGCCTAGTTCCGGACCCGCCGGAGAGCATGCACCTGCGGGACGGAGAGACGTTCCTGCCCGACATGTCATCGTACTTCCCGCGGGACTTTGACATGGACAAATGGACCGGCGGACGGGCCCACGCACCCACGTGAGTTCTGTGGGGCTGTGCCCTTTCAAGCATGGTGGAGAGGAGAATAAGTAACATGGTAATATACCTATAACTCACATCAGAGAGGTCAAGTTAGTACGCTGTTAAAGCAGCAAATGTGAATAATATTGCTCGCTTCAACTAAAATACAGGATAGATTTTAACAAAAAATACAGGAGATGTACAATGTACATACATAACTTACAAATGCATTATGCATGCTATTACATCGTAACCGTCGTAATGCAACGTCGTGACATGTAACCGTCGTAACACGTCGATTACAACATGTCTGTTATATTTTACCCTTTCCATGTGCATAACAACGTGACTAATATATTTTCACCGTGCCATTTTATTTCATTTTATTACTTTTGTCATAAACTCCCTAACTGCATCTCATTTTGTACGCTGTCCTGAAACTCACCCTTTTCCCGTGTCTGCCACCCTACCGGTGTCCTCCACCCACCCTAAACCCCTATACTAACCTCTTCCGACCGGTCACAGCCCGGTCAGCGTCCAGTACCAGACGGCCGTCCGGCGCCATTACCTGGCTGTGGAGCCCGGGGAGGAGCGCGTGCCCCGCTCCACACGCGGCGGAGACCAGCCGGACGGAGCCCACCGCGAGCGACCGCCCCGTGCTGAGATCGGACCGCGCTCACACGTGGTTGAGAGGATGCTGGTGCGGAAACAGATTGAGGAAGCAGGTCGCCAGGCGGAGAGATGCGCCGGGCTGCATGGCTCGATGCGTCCCACGCGCGCAGCTAGAAGGCTGGACGCGCTGGCGGCCGGACGCCGTCGCCGCCGCGCGCTGGCGGCTCTGGAGGATTCCTCGGAGGGAGAGGAGGAGGAGGAGAAAATGGAGAGGATGTCGGAGAGGAGGGAGCGCCTCTCACCACGCCGCGACTGGCAGGCAGAGTTCGAGAAGCAGGTGCACTACCGCGGCCGATCGGCGCTGAGAGGGTGTAGCGATATCGATGCCTGGGAGAGCAAGTTTATGGAGAGGGTCTGAGACTAGCGTTACTGATCTAGGACGGTTTTAAGAAGTCCAGCTCGTTTTTAAGAAGTCCAGACCTGCAGTCGATAGGTAGCTACACTTGTCGCAAAAGCGTTGTGTTCTAAACATGTAGCTGCACTTTTTTTGGACTGGGCGTTTGAGAAAGGGGCACTCGTGATTCGGTGCACATATTCGGTCTGCGTTAAGATAAAAACGCGACAGCTCATTTTGGCCATATCAGAGCGCAGCTTGGTCCTGATGCACTGAATTTTCACTAGCCTACAAATCAACGGTGAGCTACATTGTTGAACGAATCGAATTGTAGCGTGTTTTTGCGTGTGATATGCAGATCTGGACCTGTCTGACTGTTATGTTGGTAAAGAAAATGGGTGAAACTCCCATTGCAATGCCTTTTCAGTGCAATTTGCTGTTTTCGTGTGCAGTTTACTGTGGTTTGCGTATGACAGCTCCCGGTGGATATTAGCAAATGTCAGTCTTTCTCGAGTGTAATTCTAGCTGTTTTTCGCAGACAAAATAGGATTCACATAAATCTAGTCACTGCCACTCGTGGGATGAATGAATGTACGTGGTTGCTTGTCCCTTACCCTCACTCGGACCTCGTTTCAAACGAGTCGAACGCTCGTCTAACAACAGGATATTTGTTTTGTGTTTTACAACTACTAACTCGTCTGACTAACCCCGACAATAAACGCTGAATCCCATTTCTAACAGTGTTGTGTTGCACGTCAATGACTAAACCCGACTAAGAAAATGACATGGGTTCTACGAGTCTCGCCATCATCAGAAAATGTGCACATCGACATTATGCCGATTAAAATGGATATCGCAGACAAGGTACGAGTTGAATTGTTTTGCCGCTAATTCAATACGCTGCTCCTTCGTAGCTAAAAATCAATCCTGCTGGCTTCAGAATCTTAGATTTTATCCGCATGGCATCACAGACATATTTGAAGCCCGAGTACATAGGTAAGAGAAAAAATGACAGGCCATGTTCAGTACAAAAAGTACGTTTGACCCGTGCTGTACGGTTACTTGCTGTAGAAGGTTTAGATAGAAGGCTCATCCCATTTTGTTAAGCGCTTAGTAGCTAGATGGTTTACTGTTAACAGCTGGAATGCAATTATCTTTACAATTATTCATTCGGATGCCAGGTTTCTAGTCTCGCTTTCTTCACTACATGGCGATGGCCACTTAGTTTTTTTTTCGCCGATTACAAATTTAGCTGTAGCAGTAGTCTGCTCACTCCGATATGAATTCATTTGTTCTTGTTTAGAAATGCTTGCAACATAGTCTCAATCATGACGCTTCCACAACCAACATTTCATCTTCGGCCATGCTTCAAGCGCCACCCTACGCAAAAGTTAAGAAAAGAAAACTCAGCCCCAAGCAATAATGACGAAACCAGTAACCAACTGCTGTAGCGTGTTCTCACCTCCACTTCGCCCGTACCAGGTTCTTACGTCAGGAGAAGAGTGACCAGTACGGCGTCAAGAACCACCCGGCCGACCTCAAGTGGTACATCTACGGCTTCCCCATGCCCGATGTGCGGTTCACCTTCAACGGCAAGGACATCGAGATGGGAGGACGCTACAGTCACAGCTACACGCGCTCCGGCGAGCTCTCACTCTTCGTCAACAAGTGAGCGAAAATAGAGCCCGTAGGCACTAGGCTAATGGAAGAATGGCAAAGGCCCAAAGTTTACGTCTAAATGTTTTGCTTAGGATCATTGCATTTATTTACAACAAAAAAAAAAGAATAAATAAAATGCAATGGAAACAAGATAACACTCTGGACTTGATACAGAAGACGAAAGTATTGAAAAGATCACTGTCATAATTCAATATTTTTGTCTGACTTTAAAGTACCGCTGACCTCTCTTTTTGTCTGCATGACCTGTGATAAATTCAACCTCCCCATTGGCAGGATGCTGGACCGTGACACCGGCGTGTACGAGGCGATCGCCACCAACGCGTCGGGCGAGGCTCGGCAGCGCGTATCGCTGCACATAGCCGAGCACCCGCGCTTCTCCCTGCACCCGGAGGAGTCGACCGTCATGCAGCGTGACCAGGCGCGCTTCGAGGCGCGAGTCACCGGAGTACCGTACCCAGAGATCCGCTGGTACAAGGACTGGCTGCCGCTGGCGCCCTCGGACCGGATCCGTATCCACTGGAAGGAGCCGGATACGTGTGTCCTGCTGGTGAACGGCTGTGTGCCGCGCGACAACGGTCTCTACTCGATCAGCGCGACCAACGTGGCCGGCACGACGTCAGCCTCGGTGGGTGACGATCAACTCCAGCATCGAACGTCTGGGGAATGGGGATCCTAATGAGACACCTACCTGCTTTAAGCGTGATCAATCTCAGATGTCTATCTCAGATTTGCCAAGACTTTGTAATAAAATGTATGTCGATACTCAACTATAATAGGAACCGTTTTGTGCGCAAAATTGACCACACGGATACCGCTTCACTTGTTGGTGTTAGGCCCATGAATGTGTTGGATACCTACGCACTCAAGACAGGCAACTATGGAAGCTTATATGGTTCAGGTAATACGATATTTCGTGTCCAATGACCGACGCTGTGTCTGCAGGCAATGCTTCACGTGGAGTACGACGAGGCCATGTACAACTACATCAGCTACTCGCCTGCTCGCTCCGTCCGGCCGCGCACCAAGGCCTTCGAGGACTTCTACAACGTCGGAGACGAACTGGGCCGAGGAACGCAGGGCATCACCTACCACGTCGTGGAACGCGACAGCGGTGAGATTATACAGTCATGATGGATTTGGGTGTTGGGTACAACAAGCGATGTAGTGATTAGGCAATTAAAGGTGTGGTTAGTAATCTGCTGACGTGTCAAAGAAATGTACAGCAAGTGGCAACGCAATACAATGTTGTTTTTCGACGCATACTGTCAAACATGCTATGCCAGCGCTACGCACCTCAGCTGGTATCATAGACCTAAAATAAGACTAATGCCGTCTCACCGCTCCCTAACATTCACGCCTCTTTTTCCACCCACAGGCCGCAACTTCGCCGCCAAGTGCATGAGCGGCAAGGGCGACCACCGTCAGATGATGAACAACGAAATGTGGATCATGAACCAACTCAGCGACCGTCAGCTGACACGACTGTACGACGCATACGAGTCGCCGCGTCAGCTGATTTTGGTTCAGGAGCTGTGCGCAGGAGGAGAGGTGCTCCCCGCCCTCTGCCAGAAGACCACCTACAACGAGGGTGACATCGCCTGTGTGATACGCCAGGTGCTCTGGGGCCTGCAGCATATGCACGGCAAGCACATCGCACATCTCGGATTGACGGTACGTCTGAGAAGGGAAGGGTGATGAAATCAGGACTTTGTAAGAAAATGTAGGTAGCATTGTGTGAGAAATGCAATCATAAGCAAGCATGATCTATAATATCACGAATTCAGTTGTTCATTTTGTTTGAACGTTGCATCCGCTGCCGCCTGTTGAATAGTGTCTTCCGACTGTCCCTCCTTCTGAACCTGGTCGCTTCATATTCTGCCACTTCTCTGCCCACAGCCAGGTGACATTCTGTACACCCGACCCGGCGGAGACGACATCAAGCTGATTGACTTCAGCTACTCCCGCCACATCAACCCGCAGAGACCGGAGCGGCTCGACTACGGTACGACCGACAAGCTTCGTCGCTCTTTCTCACTTTAGATGCATTCAATGGAAGCCCTTGTTGCGAAGTTTTCGGTCAGTTGCTTTATCAACCATCGAATACTCGGAGATCTCATGCACTTCCGTGGATAGGTAGTATGTATATGAGTGAACATTACATAACCATCATCGGGATCGCGAACGAATCAATGCTCAACTATCCACGCGCCCGCAGGTATGCCCGAGTTTGTGGCGCCGGAGATAGTCAATAACGAGTGTGTGGGTCTGCCGGCGGACATCTGGTCGGTGGGCGTCATCACCTACCTTCTTTTGTCCGGAACGTCGCCCTTCAGGTAAGTCAAACTAAATTGTACGCAGGATCACATAAGATGCTGCTGACTGTCCTTTGACTTACGTGCTTTTTCAATGAATGGCAAAGCACGGTGTAAGAAGTAAAATGTAGAGTACGATATGTTTTTTTTTTCTACACAAATGTGACATTATTTTCCAGGGGAGAGAATGACCGCGAGACGCTCAAGAAGATCCAGACTGGCGAGATGGACTACGACCTGGACGCGTTCGCCGGTGTCTCTGAGGAGGCCAAGGACTTCATCACCAAGCTGCTCGTGTTTTCACCCGAGGAGCGACTGGACGTGCGGGCAGCGCTGCGACACCCCTGGCTCAAGTTCGCCGATCACATGCCCTCATCGGTGAAAGATGTGTCCACGGATCGGCTCAAAATCTATCTGGAGAAGTTCAGGTAAGGAGGTTGAAGCGACTTATATTAATGAATTAGGTATATCGATGAAAAGGCTTTACTGACGAATTTCGTCATGTCATGGATAATTTTGGGTGGGTATGTGGCGTCTTTCCATAGCGGGAAGTGTGAACTGAAAATAAATCATTTATTGCGTATCAACTCACATTTACCTTCGCAAGGCGTAAAAATATCACCTTCCGCAATGAGATGTTACGATTTGTTTTTCTTTGGGTTAGGCCCTTTCGGTCTGACAAGGCCATTGCAGAGCCGGAAGGATGATAGGAATTAGGGGGAGACATTGGTCTGGGCAGGCACCCTAGTGAGTCGCCGGGGCTGAGCCCGTCCAGAGGACAGGCCACCCAGCCCCAAGGCACTCACTGCACCCGGCTACGGGGTGCGCTCCCTCGGGAGCAGCGGTGCCGCTCCAAGGGAGCAGCCCGCATGAGATAAAGTTGCCTGTCCAGCCCGGAGGGGGGTTGCGGCGTGGAGGAGAAGGATTTCAGTATCTTGAGGACAGAAGCATGGAGTTACGATTTCTTCATAGTAAGTCCCAGTGCTCCGTCATGAGCGCCTCAGTTCCGCCTGTAAATTCGCAGCTCAAGCCTTGCGGGACAGCCTACCTTCAGGCGCTCACTACCAACGCCATCTATGAGCAGCTTACACGTTAGGCGGCACAGTCTACATTCAGGCGCCGATTACTACCGCCATCTATGAGCAGCGTACACCTTAGGCGGCACAGTCTACATTCAGGCGCCGATTACTACCGCCATCTATGAGCAGCGTACGCGTTAGGCGGCACAGTCTACATTCAGGCGCCGATTACTACCGCCATCTATGAGCAGCGTACGCGTTAGGCGGCACAGTCTACATTCAGGCGCCGATTACTACTGCCATCTATGAGCAGCGTACGCGTTAGGCGGCACAGTCTACATTCAGGCGCCGATTACTACCGCCATCTATGAGCAGCGTACGCGTTAGGCGGCACAGTCTACATTCAGGCGCCGATTACTACTGCCATCTATGAGCAGCGTACGCGTTAGGTGCAACAGTCTACATTCAGGCGCTCACTACTGGCGCCATCTCTGAGCAGCGTAAGAATACAGCTCCGATTTTCGGCACGGAAGGAATCAAAGCACCAAATTGGGGACGTTGCGAGGCGCCATGAAATTTCACACCACGCCATTCCTCATATAATTCCGAACCACACCTCGCCCTGACAATGACCCCCCCCCCCCTCCCCTCCGACAGGGACTGGTACCGTAACGCCTCGTGCCGCACCTGGTTCCGTCGTCGGCCGCTCAGCTCTGCGTTCACTCACCCGAGCTGCATGGTGTACCCACCGGACATCGAGTACACGCCCCCGCCGTCCCCGGAGCCGTCCCGGCGCGTCAAATGGCAGCCGCCGCAGCTGGAGCTGGACGGCATCCCTCAGAGAGAGTATCCGGAAACGGAGATCGGCTGGGTGCAGACCGAGAGCCAGTGAGTGGGGGGAGAGAGAGAGAGAGAGAGAGAGAGAGAGAGAGAGAGAGAGAGAGAGAGAGAGAGAGAGAGAGAGAGAGAGAGAGAGAGAGAGAGAGAGAGAGAGAGAGAGAGAGAGAGAGAGAGAGAGAGAGAGAGAGAGAGAGAGAGAGGTGGAGGGAGGGAGGGGGGAGACGGAGATCGGCTGGGTGCAGACCGAGAGCCAGTGAGTGGGGGAGAGAGAGAGAGAGAGAGAGAGAGAGAGAGAGAGAGAGAGAGAGAGAGAGAGAGAGAGAGAGAGAGAGAGGGGGGGGAATAGAGGAGGCAGAAACTAGGAAAGACAAGAGCACAACACGTCATTGCCCAATGACCATTGACCATACACCGGCTTATACTCGTTTGTTTGAACTTTGAGATATAGTTAACCCGACAGTAATGCTGATTGCTGGGGTATTTCGCCACCGGCCAGTTGCAGGGAGGGGTGTGTCTGTATGTGTGTGTGGGGGGGAGGGGGGAGGGCGTGAACGTCCCCAGCCGATAACTCGAGAACCAATCGGCGCAGCGAAACGGACGAGGCGGCAAACGAACGCTGAGACGTTTCGAATGAGTAGTTGAAAGTTCAATTTCCAGGTCACAGATCGGATCAAGGTCAGGTCAAAATTGGTCTTTCAGCAACATTGACTTAACCCGCGCGGGGCTGGGGGGGTAAATTTTACCCCCCCTCGCGAATTTTTGCAATATCTCAAAAACGGCGGCGCGCAGCGCCGCCAAACTTTCAGTTCCTTTTTTAACATCAATTTGACACGTTCCCTGAAAATTTGAGCGAAATCCGTCGGAAAATTTTTGAGAAATTGACGTTTTAGTGACGTCATGTTCGCCATTTTCGCCTCAAAAACGGCAAAAGTTCAAACGCCGCTAACATCTTCATTTTTAAAGGAATCAAGACGTAACAAAAAAGGATATACGTAATTCTACTTTGTCTATCAAATGGCTATCTCGGTTTTTTGAAAATTTTGGATTTTGACCCAAATTTTTTTTCAAAAAACTGACTTTTTTGGGAAAATAGCTATAAAATCCAAAATTTTGAGTGTATCGAAAAAACCGGAATATATGTCAGAGAAGTGGTCTATGTGTACCTACATACCAAGTTTTAGAAGAATCGGTTCAAAAATGTGGGAGTTATTCAAAATTTTGTGACGTCAAGACACACAAAAAATTTGAAAAATGACTTTTTTGGAAGTTCTAGACCTCGTACGGAAACAAAAATAGCACCATTCGATTCGCCGTGAAAAACTGCATCAGATAGACACCTTTTTAGGCCTTAACAACCAACTTCAAAATTTGACCTCACTTGACCTGACCTTGACCTGACCTCGACCTGAAATTCATCCAGAGGTGGTCCATATCACTTATTGAGTGTGCCTATTGAATTCTATGAGTAAAATGACCCATAAAACATGTGTCGCACATGCCCTTTTCTATATTTTGTTTTTGGTGACCTGACCTGACCTGACCTTGACCTTGACCTCTGAATGATATTGTATGCAACGAATATTGTCTTGGTAGCCTAAGAACACGTTTTGGGCGATCAGTCTCAGTCCATGACTCCATTCTTCGGCAACTACGGTGCAAGGCCGATACTGTAGGAACTTGCAATTTGTACCCTTGACCTGACCTTGACCTTGACCTCAAACTTAAAATTAAGTACATGTTTTTAGTTGTTCGTGATGAGATCTTTCGATTGGCGTTTGAATTTTCCAAATCGGACCATTAGTTCGGGAGATAACAGGGGGGGGGGGTAAATTTACCCCCCCCCCAGCCCCGCGCGTTCGGCTGGAGACCCCAGCCCCGCGCGGGTTAAGAACCTCGTACTGGGCGTCTCTCGTCATTAACTCTGACAAGACTGTGCACAATCCTTCATATAAGTGCTACACGAGTGTCAGATCCATGTATGGGTCAGTCAAGCATATGTCGGGGTCAAGGTCAGGTCAATCTGGTAAGAACATATCCCCGAAAATCAAAATTGGCATTCCCAGCATTTGGCACATGTTTTATGGGCACTGGTGAAAGTCAGGTAAAAATGGCTACATTTCAAAATAAATATTTTTGCATAAAAAGGATACCTATTCGATGCAGCTCGTATTCTGACGTCATTCTGCAATATATTAGAAGATATATACGGAAACAGAAAGGGAGGCCGCTTGTCCCCCCCCCCTTTAACACGGGGCGCGGCGTAATGTTAATTTTGTGCATTTGCTGCTTGCCTCCGTAACAGATACTTATCATGTTCTTATCATCTTATCATTATCTTCATGATGGTATGGTTTACGATTTAAACGCTGTGAACTTTTATGTCACATGCATTATTCAACTTGTTCATAGGTAATTATTTACCACAAAAATTAGTGTTTATAGTGTTTTCGTCAGCTAACACCATGCAGCTCATTTGCGATTCTCATAATTATTACGGCTGGTGACTTTGACTGCATACGGATTGTGAATACAACTTCAAAAATGAAATTAAGTCCGCTGCAAGACCACGGGGTATTTTCTAGGACATGGAGTAGATACTAGGTATATAGTTGGCTAGTGTGGATATGGCCTGATTTTGATATGGCCGTAAGGGAAAAAATTGGTTGTATTAATACTGTCCGATCAGCATTAAAACTGCCCGGCCCGTAGGTACTAATGCCGACCGGCGAAGCGGCCCGAGGGCTGACTGAGGGACGTATTTATACGGGCCGGGTAGTATTAATACTACCCGGGTTTCCAAACGGGCCGTAACATATGCAGTTCACCAAAAGCATTGCGGAAATGTCAGTTTCAAATCAGTTAGCAATATATGAATACTTATGGGGTAGCGGGCAATCGTAAAAATTATTGCCCGATGTGACGTCAATGTAGCCCGAGGGTGAAGATCCAAACGCCAATAATGTTTGTTCAGGTCTTCGCCCGAGGGCTACAATGGCGCCACAGGGGGCAATATTTTTTATTATTGCCCCTATCCCATACAGTATTAATTTTATTGCATGGCCCGTCCCAACTCGCCAACAAGTATCGCTAACCTTCCAGGCGGTGGGGGGGGGGGGCATTTTTTGCCGCCCCTTTAGTTTTTTCGATATATCTCCAGAACCGCTGCGCCGATCGTCATCAAAACTTTCAGTACCCTTCTGTGAATAGCTATTGCACATTGTGACCATTTTTCCAAAGGCTATGATAGGTTGGCTGCTAAAGACGTCAGAGTGACGTCATTTCTGCCATTTTCGACCCCAAAAAAGGTTTTGCGGGAAGAGCTGTCAAGCCTACAGCTTTAGGGATAAAGAAAACAAGTTTCAGTCATAAAAGGTGTAGAATTAGGAGGGCTACAAAACTGCCATCTCGGATTTTTGAAATTGTTGGATCTTGACCCCCAAAAATAAAAAATAGATTTTTTGAATATAATAACCAAAAAATCCAGAAAGTTTTTTGCATAAAAAAAGCGGAATATGTGTGATAGTCCCTACCACCTTCTATATACATACCAAATTTGAGATCGACACCTCTTTTTTGGCCAAGATATAGCGAAAAAATGTTCAAAATTAATGACGTCAAATTTTCAAAATCAATTTTTAGAAATTCTAGACCTCGTAGCGCAAAACAAAGACCACCATTAGACTCCCCGTGACGAGCTGCATTGCATACATACCCATTTTATGCAAAACGAACAACTTTGAAATTTGACTTTTTGACCTGACCTTGACTTGACCTCCAGCAGAAAGTGACCTAAACCGTACCTGATGATCTTATAACCAGCACCATTGAGTTGGAAATGAAAAATTGGCCATAAAACATGCATCGCACAACCTTAGTATGTAAAGTTGCGTTCAATGTGGTGACCCTTGGTGACCTGACCTGTGACCTGACCTGGTATGACCAGTGGCCTCTAATAGCAACATATGAACTAGACAACTGACGCCCTATCGCTGATTTTCGACAAAATGCGTTTTACTCGGTGTTATAGCGCTTTCCCTAGAAGACCCGTGAACGGTGAAACATTTTATCTTTGAGCTGACCTGTGACGTCATCTGTGACCCCGAGGTCAATGAAATTTAGTTTCCTTCGACAAATTTGTCGGGGCTATCGACCGCCGTTTGAATTTTCCGGATCCGTCAAGTAGTTTCGGAGATACGGGGGGGGGGGGCAAAAAAAAATGTTCCCCCCCACCGCGCGGAAGGTGGCCGGGAGGCCCACCGCTTGCCGGGTTAAATATGTCACTGTTCAGAAGAAAATTGAAGAGGGATTCAATTACACGCGCGGATTACTGTTGCCCGTTGTCATGGTGCCACTAACAAAAATATATCATCATTCAAAAGGAAATTAAATGTGGAGATCTGGGGCAACAGTCAAAATTATTACACACCCGGTTAACATAGAAGTCATGTAATAATACACCACGTCGGCCTTCGCCATTAGTTATAACTACGCCGTGTCCGTCCGTCTTTGGCGTTGCTGAATGGACGCCGTTGACCTCTGCAGTCTGGTCGCCCGAAAACTACAAAAATCATCATATTACCATTGTGTCACAAAGTGCACCTTTTCGTGGCCCCCAACTATGCAGAGCACACTAATCCTATCGAGCCCAGCCAAGCTGTGCTCGATAACGCGGCGTTCAACAAATAAGGAAATATCAACCGTTGCCCAACTGTCCTTCATTGTAGTGCTATCAGTGAACGAATATTGACAGAAACTACTGCACCTGAACGGGTTACTCGGTCTGACACTTTGAGCAGGGTGTGGCTGTTGGCACACTTTGCCCCCTACCAGAACTGTCCTCTTACGGTGTGCCTGGTGGTTTTATTTCATAATTTTCTTCGGTGCGGTTGGACAGGATTGATACGATACATAGGTACATTATGGTTATAATTCATTTGTTGGTAGCTAAGATGTTGGAATTGTTATAGTGTTGAAACGTGACAGCGACAGAGCTGATGTTCACACAGCTGTTCTTGGGAGTTTTGTTGGGGGACTTTCGCTTCCGAATG